GTTCGCTGGCCACAGAGGACATGTGACTGGGCCACTCCGGTGGGTGAATGAGCCTTTACCTCGCAGGGAGACTTGGGAGAGTGAAACAGAAAAACAAGCTTCAGAGTGTCCCACACAGGGGCCACCGAGCTGGGCAGCATTTAATGCCAGCTCTGCTCTCAAGGGCCCTGCTCCCCTGCTCCTGGGCATTCCCAGAACTCCCCCATGCTGGACGTGCTGGAAACGAAGTCTGCAGACCCAGAGATGCAGACGCTGTCCGCTGGAGGCCCCAGGAGAGTGGAGTGGGCTGGCACTGGCGTCCCAGTGTCTCGTTTTTCTCCTGGTATCCACCCACACCTGTGCTTCCTAGTTTCATTTCAGAGAAGACAGCACGAGACGGAGTCTGAATGACTGATAAGCTTGCATAGCTCTAGCCCTCGAGGGTGCAGGGCTGGTTGTCCAGGCTCTCAGGCCGGTGGTCAGCCTGACTGTCTTGGGATCGTGTCCACGGCCCTGCCCCCCAGGCTGAGTGAGGACAGACTCAAGTGACACAAACATGACTGTGCCTGAAGGTGGCATTCAGAGCTGGGAGCAGGACAGCATCGCGGGAGGATGCAGCACGGCACACATGCTGTTCCCACATGAAGATGAATGGCAGAGTCATTCTCGCCTCTGCCTGTTTTTGTGTTTGTGCATTCTCCTTGACAGAAGGAAGAGGCGAGGCTTAAAGTCAGTAGAGCACCTAAACCCAAGCTCTGGCTATTTCATTCAAATTTTCACCTCTGTAGCCCTTTCCCCGTAGAATTTAGCATTTCTTTTGGCTCCTCCTAACTTGAAACTTCCCTTGCACTTTACTCTCACAGTTACTCTCTTCCCACTTGACTATTTCCATGAGTGAAACCCAGTGTGTGTGTAGTAGGTTCTATTAGAGCGGAAGTGCCGCCATCTTGGTTTCCGGTGCGTGTTGTGTGAACATGGGGACACCATTCCCACGGAACTCCTCTATGTCTCTGTGCTCCCTGGAGAGCCTCCCAGGACCTTCTCCCTGCCGTTCTTGCTCTCTAGCTCTCGGCACTCCATACAACAGTATTTTATCATTTGTTTATTGTCAGTTTCCTGACTCATATGTGAGCTTCATGACAGAGTTCTCTGCATCCTAAAATGGCCCTGCCTGCAGGAAATGAGCCACTCCAGGGAGAACAAAGGCCTGCTTTTTCCCGCCTCACCCCGAGTCATAGCCAATCATCTGCCTCCACCACACTCCCTCAGCCCTGATAAACCTCACCCAGCCCCTGGTTGCTGTTCTCGCCGTTGTTCGAAGCAGCCTGGCAGCTCTGTCCTTAATAAAAGCCCTGCTTTGGGTGTTCATGTTTTGGCTCATCATATTTCTCTCACTTCATGAGGCAGATGCTGGGCAGAGGGGATCAAATTGACATCTTTGAATGAATTAGACACTAGAGCAAGGGGCTTTCTGGGCTTTTCTAGGGAAGGCTATGAGTCACTAACTGGTGTTGATCCCACAGCATCTGCTGCTTGGTCCCTGAGGTGACAAAGAATTTCTGGGGTGGGGACTGGCCTGGGTGGCCTGGAATCGGGCAAAACTGAAGCCAGGGTCAGGCTCACCCACTGGGGATGGAAAGCTCTTGGGAGCCACCAGGTGGCACTGATAGGTGAGGAGAAACCACACAGGAACTGCTAGCAGCAGACATGGCAGGAAGGGCGGCTGATCGGCCAGAGGGAGGCAGGACCTGCCTCGTGGGCGAGCAGAGTCCTGAATCAGTGGAGTCCTCACGGTACAGGGTCCCCATGCACATGAAGCTCTGTTTCAGGAGCCTGGACTTGTTGTAACCACCAGCAATCAGCGCTGACACATGCCTTTATCTGGTCTTCCTTTCGCTTCTGATTTTGGAAATTCATGGTGGAAGAAAAAAATTTTAATAGATAAATAAGCATAACTTTGGTATTTTCCATCCTGACTTCCCTGGATCCAAACATGCTAAAGGAAAATACCCAGTGGCACTTAGTGTTCATGTCCTTAAAGAGAGAGTCTGGAGAAATGGAATAAATGAGAACAGTGTGCCCTGGAAGTTGCTCGTGAAAACTGAGACTGCTGTAAATCGAGAGCTGTGTAAGCAGGAGCTGATGATCCTCAGGTGTGACAACAACGCGTGAGGTGGAGTTGCAGAAAGACAGGGCAGTTGATGGGCTTCACAGCCCTGTGCAGCACATCGCCAGCCTGGTCCCGCATGGGTGCATGTCGGAGAGGAACGGGGCTTCTGTGTAGAGCAGGGAAGAGCTGGTCAGCAGCTTCAGCGGGAAAGGGATTCCCGCTGAAGGAGGGCATGTGTGTCGGAAGGAGTAACTGGGTAGACACTCACGGTGCTGGGTCCAGATTTGCAGAAGGGTCACCCTGACTCACTGAATGAAGAACGAGCCCAGGGAAGAGGGCTCAAAGCAGAGGGGCTGCAGAGCATTTTCTAAGACTCCCAAGAGTGGCCTCTCTGGTAGGTGCCTGCTGACAAATCCCCCTTGGTCCTTTGGTGCCTGTTACTGTTTTTATTCAAACCGACAGCCATGGCATGTCCTGAGGCGAGCTCCTGTGTGTTAAAGCTAGAGGGACATGATCCACCACAGAAAGGCGAGGCGCCTCCTCCTCTTCCCGAGGTCACTGCTCAGGCGAGACCGGCTCTGCAGCCACCTGCAGGTAGGTGCTGTCGGGCACTCGGGCTTGGCCCACAGGCTTGTGCGCTGGGAGCTTCCCATCTGCCCACTCACTCACTCTGCCCTTGCCTGCGCCATGCGGCCCTGTCCTCACATCCGTGAGCAATGCCAAGGCTGGGCTGCTTCTTAACAGCGGGCAAGAAGAGAAGCCTGCTTGTGAGAGGAGGTGTGGACAGGTGCGTGACGGGGAGAGAGCCAGTGAGGACTGGGCCTGGCAGTCAGGCCTTGGCGAGGAGGAGGAGCAGGCGAAGAGGGCAGGGGAGGCGGGCGGCGAGGGCAGAGCAGGCAGGGCCGGCGGGCCCTGGGGGCCGCCTCCTGCACTCTGCTCTCGAAGCCTGGGGCCCGGGGTCCCATCCGCCACTCACTGCGGCGAATCTGCCTGCATCAACAGGGCCCGGGTCCCGTCCCTTCCACCCGGAGCCCTGGCTCCCCAACGTGTCCTCCAGAGGCTCCTCGTGAGCCTGGCCCCCGGCGCCCCTCTGAAGGGCACCGTCCTGTTAGTGCTCATCTCCGCAACCTGCTCCAAGCTGAGTCCTCCTCCGGGACCTCCAAGTGCTCTCCCGTTCTGAAGTCCTGCGGTTAGGGCTTCCAAACAGGGATTCTTGTTTTGTTTTGTGAGATGTGGTCCAGGCTGGCTCTGAGCTCTGCCACGTCCTCAGCCTCCCACCGAGGGCTGGGACTGCCGGTGTGCGTCCCCACGGCCAGCGCAACACTTGAATTGTGAGGAGAGGGGAGCTGGCGCACAGCTGTGCTGTCCGTGGCCTGCTGCCCGTGCCTGCCAGGACACACCTGTCACAGCACTTGTTCTGGATCCCTGGGAGGCACAGTGCAGACACCCGAGAGGAAGGAACAAGCGAACGTGACACAGAGACAAGGATCTGAGCCGGAGAGAGGCGGCTTCGCCGGATTTCAGGCTGAGATTCCTGGGGACGGCTCTCCTTCCTCACAGCCGCTGAGGCTTGGGGCCTGAGGAAGGAGCAGCTGAAGGGAGAGAGAGGAAACGGAGGTCAGGGATGTAGCTCAGTGGTGCCGCCGCCTGCCTCACAAGCACAAGGACCCGAGTTCGATCCCGGTACCAAAAAAACCCAAAATACAAATGGTGCTGATGAATACCCCAGCATCTCGAGTACCAGAAACGCCAGAACTTGGTCACCCTCGCCGGCTCTGGCCACAGCGCTGGCTGGGACAGAGGACCTGCACGGCGAGGCTGGTCCCGGCCCCCAGCACGGGCCGCGGGCGGCTCTGCCATCTGTGTGTTTGAAGCTTTCTTTCCTTCTTCCTAACACAGGAGTCAGCTGTTCTGTGGTTGCCTAGGTTGGGGATTATACACACAGTACTTGTGTACACACACGAGCGTGCACGCATGTGTGCACAACACAGAAAGAGACACCAAGGCCGCAGTACTCCAAGGCATCTCCTAACCCCGTATCCAAGGAAAAGACGAGCCCAGTCACAGCGCGTTCAGAGGAGGGGCGAGGGGAGGCTGTGCCCTCTGGGTGCAGGAGACTGATGAAACCTGCGCAGACAGCAAAGGAAAGCGGGAGGGCAGGGCGGGCTGGCTAAACACACGGAGGCAAACATCTAGATAAACAGCCCACTGAGTCTCAGCAGGGAGAGGACTTTATCTGAGGAACACAGTGATTGATCCACCACATGGAGACGTTAAAGGAGAAAGATAGCAATGTCATCTGAAGAGACAGGAAATATTACTGAATACAATTAAAGGCTGGTTTATATAAAATGGTTAGTATTGGAATAAAAAACCCTTCCTTATCCATGTTGAAATGTACCCACCCAAACCTACAGATGTCTTACTTATAAGGAAACCTCAGAAGCGTTCTTTAAAGTAGAAAGGAAGGATGCCAATAAGCTCAACAACCACAGTAAATGACAACTAGATAGTGAAATGGACCAAGAAAAAGTAAAAAATATTCAAATTTAACCAGTTTTTTCATACTTTAACATTTCTAACATTCAGTCCCTGGTAACAAACTATCTTACATTTGGTGAACTACAGTGGAAGAATGGAAAAGGAAGGGAAAGCCATTATTTGTAGGCAGGAGAATCTACGAATAAACAGGGTGAGTTGAAAAATTTGACACGGACAGTGGATACATAAGGCAAGCACGTCAAATTCAAATGCATTCTTCCTCGCTGTTGGGAACAAACAAAATTGTTAAAAAGATGCCTCTTATAATATCAATAAAGTACGATACAAAGAAAAAAACAAAGAAGATATGTATAAGACATTTGTGAAAAAATTATAGAGCTGTATTTAAAAGGATTAAAGAAGACTCATATAAATGGAGAAGTTTGTATTCAAGACTGAAAGACCTGATATTATAAAGTTAGAAATTCTTTTCAATTAACCTAATGTCCAATAGAGTTCCAATAAAAATCTCAAGAGATTTCTGACAGTATCTTTTAAAACTCCCACGAAAGAACAGAAACAAAGAATCGGAAGAACTTCTGAGGAAGGAGGAGCGTGTGGGGCCCCTGTCTCGAGCAGCATGAGCCTCTGCGTCCCTGCCCGTGAGGAGCCGGAAGTCCTCCCTGGCACCAGCCCTGTGCACACCGGCACTCACAGCCCGGGTCACAGACCTGTGACGCTGTGTCGGGGAGACAGCAGACAGGAGAGCCCAGGAGGTCTCTAGCTCTGTATGCTGCAAGGTTCCTGGACACAGCCTCGGCAAAGTCGTCAATCCACACAACCCCAATTGGGCCACGAAAACATTTCCCCCAGTGTTCTTATTTCTGTAACCTAATTTTTCGAAGGCAGACGCAGACTGTAATATCTTCATTCTATACTCAAAAACAGCCTGACTGCAAAATCATAAACCATTCCCTGTTCAGACAGCAAATCAGGGGAATTCACTTCATTGAGAAAGCCAGGAGACAGGAGAAAGAACCACATGAGCTCCACATCACAGGGCTCACAAGTCTTATATGTAATTAATAGTTCGCTTTTACTAGGAGATTTTTCCCAGTGTCTTCAAAATAACATTTCTTACAAAGAATTCAAAGTGAAAGCTGAAAAACCGTTTAAGACTCCTGTGCTAAACAATTCTGTTGAAAGGAGTTAGTACGGTAAACTGGGAATTCTTCCCAGGATATGTTTTATCTTACTGACTTTTCTGCAGCGTCCTGGACTGCACTCAGGGAACTCTGTGCTACAACCTCAGTCCTTTTGCTTTTAAATTTTGAAATCTTACTAAGTTGCCCAGGCTGACCTCAAACTTGCAATCCTCCTGCCTCAGCCTCCTGAGTAGCTGGGGATACAGGCATGTGCCACCAGTCTGCCCAGGAATCCACCTTTTTCTTTCCACAGTAGAACTGTGCGCTCCACTGGGCTACAACCCAACCCTTAATTACATTTACAGTAGAGTCGCACATATTCAAGTCATAGTTAAGGCTCATGAATGTGCCTGAGGTGAGTGACTGGTGAGAAATCAGAAGAAACGAGCCTGTTACATAAGCAATGCCTGCAGCTGCAGATGTGGCTCGAACTCAGCACAGCAGCTTCAGCTAGTGGCGTGGAAGGCTGTGTGGACTGCATCGAGTTCCTCCCTCCAAGACTCCTCCCGCTCCGCGGAGTCCCGGCCTGTGTGCGGCTGCTGGCTCTGGCAGTGGCTGGCTGGGCCCTGAGGGCTTCGGTACAGGCCTCCCTTCGCCTGCAGCCTCGCTCCGGAGGCTCCAGGGGTCCATTGCAGTCCTGCAACAGCAGATGAGAGATTCCAGCAGGAAGCCGCTCACACACCTGGAGCCTCACTGATCGCCTCCTGAACAGGGTGATGGAAGCCCCTGCCCAGCACATCCTCGCTGCTGCACTGCCCTCCACCAGGTCGACTGTGGCCACTGTCTTCACATCGTCTTATTCCGCTCAGTAACAGTGCCCAAGTGTGAGCGCAGCCATGCTGGCAGTTCAGAGGCACTGAGGAGGAGCTGAGGCACCCCTCTCCCAGGAGGGAAGGACCGGTGTATTGTTACACTGTATCAGCAGACATGGTCTTCATCACAGTGTATTGTTACACTGTGTCAGCGGACATCACTGTATCAGTGAACATCCAGTGCAGGTCTTCATTACAGTGTATTGCTGCACTGTATCAGTGGTCATCCTTCGTGGCAGGTGTATATAAAATTCCATGTGCAGGGCTTGGGTCTCTGGTCTCCAGCATGCACTGGGCTCTTGGGCCGCACCTCTGGTGGCCGGGAGCACTGCACACTGCACACACCGCTGTGGCCTGGGACCTGCGTGGACGGCCGGGACTGATGTGTGGGTGTCACTGGGCTCAGGACTTAGCACAGTGGGACGTGTTCTGAGTGGAGCACAGTTTTCATCTTTGACTGTGGATCTGTTGTTCTACACACTCCAACATCAAATTGTTCTATTATGGCTTTAAATGACGTTTACATTTTCTGAAAAATGAACCCATTACTTTAGGGTTTCACACCTAAACTAGCCCTTTTTTTCTATCGTAGTTTGCTCAGATAAATACTCCTGTCTCTGCAATTTTAAAAATTGTTCCTGGAGTCTGGAAATAACTTGTGGCACCTCTGTTAAAATGAATGTTGGCTGGAAATAGATGATTACATAAGGAAACAGAAACCGCCGCGATGGTGCATTTGTGTTGCACACCCGGCGTGGGTCCGCTGTGGGAGGGGTGTCCTGCTCGGAGCCTGGAGGGGCAGGCGTGGGGCAAAACTCCAGGTGCTGCAGGCGCCAACGGTGAGGACTCTGGCTTCCTGTAGAGACTGCAGGAGCCCGGGAGTAGCTGAGCCAGGGCAGAGAGAGAAGCTGGGCAGATTTTGCATCTGGATGTTTCCTGTCGTCTATAAGGCAGATCACAACTTCTGTACTTCCATGTCCTTTTCTATTTGGAGCCAGCTGTGGCGGCATGCACCGGTACTCCAGGCAGTCAGGGAGGCTGAGGCAGGACAACGCCAAGTTTGAGCGCAACCTGGGCAACTTAGCAGACCCTGTCTCAAAATTAAAAGAAAAAGTAAAATGTCTGGGAAGGTACCTCAGTGAGAAGGCTGTAGGTCCAGTCCTCATTAGCACAAAAAATAAAGACTAAATAAAATCCAGATGTGCCGCCTGCCTCACAAGTGTAAGGACCCGAGTTCAATCCCTGGTACCAAAAAAAAAATCCAACTTGTATTGGCTGGCCTCCATTGTAGTCAATTTTCCTTTCTGTTTGGATAAAACACGTATTAGTCTTCTGATTCTGTGAAGGATGACCAGTCATTCAGTGGCTTAAAAGGACACGCATTTATTATTTTAGAGTCAGGAGCTCAGAAGGCCACAAGCGTCACCAGGCTGCCCCTCTGCAGGCTTCAGGGGAGACTCCTTCCCGCTCTCTGCCCTCCTTCCTGTCGTCAGTTTACCCTCGGTTTCTGTCGCTGCTGTGTGGGGCCCTCTGATTCCGGGGCCACCCGCACTGTCTGGCACGACCTGTCGCAGACTCTAAGGGCATCTGCAGAGTCCCTGGCAGACTCTGGTCCCGGGACCCGGGTGTGGACGTCTCTGGGGACTGCTGTTCGCCACCACGCCCTGCACCATGGGCTGTGGGGAGTCCCGGCCGGCCAGGTGGGCAGTGGGGGTGGGCCAGGGCCGATCACCCTGCGTGGGAGCAGAAAGGGAGGTGTGGCGTGGGGGGACGCAGGGAGTCGGAGCTGATGGAGGAACCGCTCGGAGAGGGGCCGCTGCGGCCTGTGCCGCACGGTGTCCACGCTGTGTGTCCACGCTGGCCTCCGGTTAGACGTTCCTGACATGTTTTAAAGAGGGAACCTCGGAGAGATGCCACACAGCCCTGCAGGGTCCCAGTGGGGATGTCCTGCCCCATCAGGAAGGCAACAGAAGGGCGAACGCCCTGTGTTAGGCAAATGAGAAGCGAGTTTTCAAGTAATCAAGAGCTAATGGAAAGGTCAGGAAGCAGAGCAAAGAAATCAAGGGCACCCATGGGCGGTGCTGTGGGAAGAGGACCCTGGCCACCCAAGGTCCCCAACTGGTTTCAGCTACGCTTTGGGCACTCACTATGCTGCACTGTGGTCTCCGGTGGGTCTGAGCTTCCCTGCTGTAATTTTTCCTTTGACTGGAACATGTTTGCAGCGCATCGTAATTACACTCATCTTGGGGTGCTGGCACAGGCACATGACATACATTAACTTCTTTATGTGCCTTCCCTTTTGCAAAAGTTCCATCTCCCTGATTCTGATCATCTGTCTTTTATTGTGCTCTTTGGTCACACTGTGGGTTTCTCGTGTAAGAGAAACTGTGATGTTCACGTGTGTGTGTCGGGTAGATTTCACTTCACATTACAGCTCCGTCCCTGACATTTTCCATTTTCCACTGTCTCCCCTGCTGCCCAGCGATTGGCCTCCCGGGCCCTGACTCTGGCTGACGCAGCCTCCACTGCTCCCCCACGTGGGAAAGAGGACGGGCAGGGGCTGGCGTGGAGTAGAGGAGGACTCTGATGGTGATCGGACACACGCGGGGCAGGGCCGGAGAAAGATCCCAAAGAGCGGCCAAGAGTCTGAGGGAGGGAGGTTGGTAAGGGAGGGCCTGGAGCCACAGCCTGGGCTCACAAGAAGCCACCCAGCACCAGCCCGGGGTAGCAGCAGCTCTGACCCACACAGGCACCTCCATTCCCATCTCGCCCCAGTGAGGAGCTGGGCCCTGAACACTGGAGCTTTTGGAAGAAGCAAGCCAACGGGTGGCTCAGGTGCCAGTGATGAGAGCCAGGCACTTCCTGACTGGGCTTCTGTGGCCCGCTTTCTCCTCCTTCAAAGGGGAGCCTCGCTGCCCTACTGAGTCCTGCTGTCAGCATGCGCCTGTCTCCTCCTGCCCTTGGTAAGCAGAGAGCAGGAAGCAGAGCCCTGGCCGTGGCCTGTCCGGGCCAATTTCTCCTGTCTGCACTGGACAGTCAGCCCGCTCGGTCCACTTCTCCTCCCGCCCTTCAATCTCCTCGAAACAAAACACTTGTGCTGCATGGTTTCCCCATGAAATGTACTTGGAGTTTTTAAGCAGCACCTGGGACATTTCAGTCACCCGTGTACTGGTCAGGGTTTGTGCCATGGGACCAGAAGTGACACCACCCTGCAAGGAGAGGGTTCTTGTGCTCACAGTTTCAGAGGGTCCCGTCCACAGCCCACTGGCTCCAGCGCAGTCTTCACGGTGGCAGGGCCCGGTGGAGCAGAGCTGCAGGTGGGGGAAGCCTCGGGCGCCCTGCATGGCCTGCTGACCACTTAGCACATTCAGCTGTGAACACAGTGATTAACCTTCGTGTTAGGGTGTTTGAAAAAATCGCAGAACACAGGCTTTCCTTAGTCATTAGTTGACAGCTACCTAATAATCATGTTCATTTCACATAATTACCTCCATTCTTTTCTCCTAGTGGTCACATGAGTATTCATTTTAAGGTAAAAATTAAATTTACAAGTTGGGTGTGGTGGCACACACCTGAACCCCGCCCTCTGGGAGGCTGAGGCAGGAGGATCCCAAGTTCAAACCCAGCCTGGGCAACTTAGCAACTCTGTAAGACCCTGTCTCGAAGTAAAAAATAAAGGGCTGGAGACGCAGCTCAGTGTGAGGCCCTTACTTCAACCCTCAGTGCGGAAAAAACATTGTGTGTGTGTGTGTGTGTGTGTGTGTGTGTGTGTGTGTGTGTGTGTGTGATTCCCTCTTGGTTTAAATTTGGAAGAGAAGACTGAGACATAACTTCAAATTTGCAAACATTTTATCGAGTGTAAAGAAAAGCTCCTGTCCTGAATTACAGACTCCAGGTCACTGGAGTCGCCTCTCCTGGAGAAAACACAAATGCTTGCGCAAGAGCCTCTTCCTGCTCCGTGGAACTCGTGTCAATGGGTCGCCACATGTTCGCTGGCCTGCATCTGGGCCCGAATGTCTGCTGTCCGCTGGTTCCTGTCAGTGCAAAGAGTGTGTGAGCAAAGCCTACAAGCCGTGCGACATATCTGTGTCCCTTCCACAATGCTCCTTGGGGCTGTGATGTGTGTCGGGAGCCACTGGAGAGACGCGCAGGCTGGGGCGGAGGAAGATGCAGGCTCTCGAAGGCCCGGAGCCTTCCCAGAGTGAAGGGCGGTGGGTGAGAAGAGTCGCCGCTCGCCCTGTGCACTGATTCAGTTTCCTGTCTTTTTTTAAAGCAGACTTGGGGACACAGCAGCTAACAGGCCATGAGTTCATGGGACGCCTCCTAATAGCTTCAGCCTCCGGCAGATTGACTAATAGAAACCAGTTTCTCCTCTATAAAATACAGATAAGAAATGTGCATCTCATAGAGTTCTTACAAGAATTAAATCAGGATAGCTTAATCCAGTGGAGCCCTCGAGGTCAGGCTGCTCGGATTAAACTTCTGGCTCCAGCACTCATTTCCTGTGTGATTCCAGGCAAGCTGCTTAAAGCCCTTAAAGCAAAGTTTTCTCAGTGTAAATAGCATTCATGAACCGACTCTTACCTGCTAGGGTTGCCTGAGAACAAGGGAGTCTGTCCATAGAAAGGATCCAGCACAGCGCTAGACCCACTGTAAATGTTGGCTGTGGAGACAGAAAGCACCGTCCACAGCCCGTGTGGCTTCCGGCGCTTAACTAGGTTGCAGATTAATTTGTGACGTTTGTGATCCAAGTGCACAAAGGCGAACTCTTCTCTTTACAAAGACTTTCTTTCTCTTTTCTTTTTTCCTCCTTTGAAGAATGTTGTGGTGCACATTAACAGGATGCCTTGGGCAGTTTAGGATGTCTTTAAGTGCACGTATTTCTCCTGGACCGAAGCCCTGTGCTTTCAGGAGAAGCAGGTCCCGGAAAGAGGTGGGCTGCCAAGTGCCCACTGGCAGAGCAGCAAGGAGAGAGCTGGGGTCCAAGTGAAAACAGGTCCTTGTCGCCCTGGGAGTCCTCAGCAGCTGAGCTCTTCCGTGTGCTCTGCAGTACTATCCATGGTTGTCCAAAGACTGACTTTCACGCCAAGGCCACGAAGTGTGGTGACAGTTCCGGCTGTAGACCAATGTCCTTTCAGTGGCGTCTTCATTTATTTTCTTTGTGTCAACCAAAATTCACCAAAGAGAAGCTCAATAGAGAAGACAAGGCTTTATATGGAAAGGAAGGAAAGAAAGGCAAAGTGCAGAGTCACAGCCTCTGAGACGCCAGGGCAGCGGGCCCTAAAGGGACAGACAGAGACCGGCCCAGGGCCCACGCCCGCCCGCCTCTGCCAGGGAGGAGCGGTCCTGGCTTCCTGGAGGTCTCGGTCACCGGCCAGGGCAGAGCAAACCAGGCTTCCACAGGCTTCGTCTCGGTGTTGAAGGAAGAGCGTTCCCGGGCCATGGGCTCGGTCCACAGAGAACTTGTGTGGCCCTGCTTAGCAAATGGCTACCAGACGCCATTGTGGATCTGGGGTTAACCAGCTTTCTGGGAAGTTCACGGCTGCTGACACAGAATATCCAAGATGGATGGTATGAAGGAGAGAAGCTCCTTTTGGTTCACAGTCTTGGAGGGTGGGAAGGCCAAGACTGGCAGACCAGGTTTGGTGAGGGCCTCAGCTGCTTCCCTCCTGGCAGAAAGGGAAGGAAACAGGCACAGGAGGGAGAGAGATGGACTGCACCGGCAGGGGCAACCTCGGTCTCACAAGGGAACATCCGTCCCTCTCGAGGCCCGGCCTCCAGGACCCAGTCACCTCCCTGGAGGGCCCTGCCCACTCCACACTGAGGAGCTCGGGACCAACAGACAGGCGTGCGGAAGCACATTCAAACCACGCGGTGGTCATGGGCCAGGGCTCTGGAAGTGTTCGGGCTCAGGTGGCGACTGACACGCAGGACTTGTGGAGAGCAGGGCTCCACCACCCCTGAGCCCTCGGCCTGCGCCTGCGCCTTCCTGAGCCCCTGAGCCCTCGGCCTCCGCACTCTGCGGGGTTGCACTCCCCTGGGCTGCAGCGCCCTCCTGCTCAGCAGACCCTCCCGCAGTTAGGCGTCCTGTCTACCTGGAGTGAGTGCGTCCAGCCCGAGGCCATTCCGATGCCCGAATGTTAGCAGACAGGCTCAGACTTTCACTGTAAGGATTCTCACAGTTTTGCCATTTTCCAGATAACAGTGATACAGGGGGAACAGATGTAACCCCCAAACCTGTTAGACATCCGAAGCACGAGTTCGTGTTCTCTAAAACTGAAGAATGAATTCTGGGAACAACGGAGGTTAACAGTAGGAAAAAATGGACTGAGAGAAAAGTGGGTGACCCACTCACCTTGCTTCTCAAAGGTGTTTTAAGCCATGAGGTGAGGCAGATTCAAGGTGGGACAAAACTGTAGTCAACTACTAAGTTTCCAAGTACAGTCACTTAGGTGATATTGATTAAATGGGGATCCAGTGGGGACGCAAGTCACGTGAAAGCGTACAAGGAATGAGCAAGGATTCTCAGGGATCTTTCTTGGAATATCTTGGCCACCCATCTAGGGGATTGATACCTATTTAGAAGATCAATCACTGCTATCCATCCTTAGGGGAAGCACAAGGGTGTGTAGTTTCTCTCCTTTTACAATGCTGGCCTTCAGTGAGTGTGTCATCACTGTCCTCCATGTTGGCTCTTCGTGGGCTGGCCCTGTCTAACGGCCTACCAGAGATCTAATGAACTTACCTATCTGCAATACTCACAGGTACAGAGCATCTGCGGGGGTGGTGGAAACGTCCCCCACACAGATAACAGTGGTGGTTACACACACCGCAAACATCCTTACGTAGTATCCACACATTGCACACTTAAAATGGCCCAAATAGTAACATTTATGTCATATATATATTTTTCATACAATAAAAAGTTATACTTAGACACAGCCTCATCAGTGTACATAGACAGGATATTTCTAGTCAGAAAGTAGCAGGTACCCCGTCTTAACTGCCTGCCATTTGGGGATGGAAACCAGTAGCAAAAATGCAGCTTCTGGAGTTTCGGGACCTTACCACAGGACTGCAGCGCTGCGCTGTTCCACCAGCCTCGGACTGATTGCATAGCGTGAGCCCTTTGCAAAGTACTTGGAGGTTTGCTGTTTCTGGGAGCTTCCAATGCCATCTGATCTGTTCACAAATCCCATGTGTGGCCCAGCTCTGGTGCATTTGGTCATGTGATGTACACATCACAGGGGCACAAACCAGTGTCTCCCAGCCAAGCAGTCAGGGTGCTGGGGCCAGGAGGCCCAGTGAGAGGGAGGACCGGACCCACAGCCCTCTGAGGGCTCCTGCCCTGTGACTCCTAAAGGCTCTGCCACCCTGAGCAGTGGCACGCTGGGTGCCAGGCCTCTCTGGACATCCTGATGCACGCTGTGGCACTGCGCTGTCACCAGGTAATTCTGAGGAGCAAATGCTAGAGGTAGCTAATGTAATTCAAAAACCCGTTTCCATCCCCTCTCCCTCAAAGGACTGATTTGGTCAGTTGAAATGCAAAAGGTGAGCCAAATCTCCTTAGGGTTTGATGGGCTTCCCTCAGTCACGGTGCACTGTTGCAGCCAAAGCACCACGCCAGCTCCTTAGGTCAGCGTTCTCTCTCCTACTAAGGAGATGCTCCTCTGAGACACCTGAAAAGAAGCTTTTATACGCACCAAGACTGGATTCTACTTTTGTTCTCCATTGCTGTCTGCAGCTGCCCAGAAAGGAGAAGTACTGAAGAACCTGACCCTCAAATTCTCTTCCTTGAGATGCTCAGTGGTGAATGGCAAAAGCCGATTCCTAAGTGGATCTTCGGGGTGCCCTCCGGTGGCTGAGGAGAGTTAGGACCAAAGCCCAGTACCGGACTGTAGGGTCCCCAGGGGGCCCTGCAGGCTGCTGACCTCTGTGTGTTCAAGTGGCCATCACCGCATTTTCCACACACACTGAACGTGCATCCAGACCAGCCATGCAGGAAGCAGCAGAAGGAGTCTGGAGTCATGAGGCCTGGGCCTGAGTCAGAGCTGAGTCAGAGCCCCAGGCTGGGTCTGGGATGCTCCCTAGATAGGAGGCAGTGCCAACACCACAGGGCTCTGGAGTCTACCGGCGATGGCTACAGGAAAGGCAACTCCATCCAGTCGGGAGGCAGAGGCGGTAGGTGGCCTGCAATGAGGATGAATGGAAAATGCACAGGATTTAGGGTAATGAAAATGCTCTAAAACAGAATTGTAGTGACTGTTGCACAACTCAGTGATTTTCTAAAGTCACTGCATCGACAGTTGTAACATGGGTGAACTTTATGGTATGTAAATTACAACTCAATAAAGTTGCTTTAAAAAACCCTAGAGATGTCCCGAGAGGACAGGAGAGGGGGAGGGAGCAGCCAGGGCCCTGCATAGGTGCTGAGCTTCAGGATGGTGCAGTCTGTCCTCCATGTGTGTCCCAGGCCAGCGGGCCAGGGGCTGGCAGAGCTTGGCCACCAGAGCAGCCTCCCCGCCGGATGGAGCCCGGGCTTCCATTCCTGCCGGGGGGCTCCGGCTTCTCAGGTGCAGTCCTGATGGACCAAGGCTGCCTAGGCAGCCAGCCTGGCGTAGCTGCACCAAAATGATCATCTTGAAATACACAAACTGTGTGTCCCTCAATACCTCTCTCAGTAACAAGTAATTCAGCACAGCTTGGGACTTGGAGGAAACTCAAGGGAGGGCAGAAGAGAACGTCTATTTTTTACACAACTTACTAAGTTATGTCAACTTGAAAATGAGGATTTGTAAAAGTACCCAAAGAAAACTCAAGTGAAAATCTCTATGTAGTTAGGGTAGAGAGAAATTGGTTAGGAATAATACCTAACCAGCAACTACCGCAGAGATAATAGATGAGTAGGAGAAATTTAAACCACAAGTGACTTGTTAGGCTATAATACTGTATTTTATATATGACAGACATTTATGATCCTCAATATAACAGTCACTTATAAGACAGAGGAAAATGGGCAACAGATGGCTAATTCACAAAAGGAAAAATAAAGTAAGGAAATGCAACCTGTTAACATCAGAAATAGCACTTAACCTGGTTACTAATTAATAAACGTTAAGAAAACAATGAGGTATTTCTCTCCTCTGAGATTGGCAGATTACAAAGACAGCCTAGTTTATTCCCAGAACTCAGGGAAATGAGCACTGTCTCCTGGGAGATAATTTGGCCCTATTCCTCAAAATGCAAATATTCACATCTTTTAACCCAGCAAGTTCATTTGGGGGATGATTTCAGGGTACTAATCAAGTGTGGAAAGATACATGCACGAGGCTATTTGTCAGAGCAAAAAAGTAGGAAGACTCTCAAATGCCTTTCAACAGGGATTCAAGTGTTGCACATCTATTCAACAGAATATCTGCATTAATTAAAAATGATTGTGATCTATGTCTTGGGTCACGGGGGAAATGTTTACACTATATTGCTAAGTTAAAAAAGTCTCAAAAGCACAGATAACATAACCACATGCTTGTTTAAAAATAATCAGAGAGAGAACGAAGGGATCACCTCCCTCCAGGAAGGACCTGCTCGGCAGCTGTCCCTTGCATTTCATCTGGGCCTCATTTCCATCTCTACCCAGCTCTGCTCCCTCCCCTCCTCACAGAGGTGTCCACCCCAGGACAATTCCTCGAAGAAGCTTGCTGCCCAGCGGTATCTTCTGCTCGGTCTCCTTAGCTCTAGCCTTGAACTGTGTGGCAAACCCATAGCAGCCTGCCCCAGAAGAACCTGCCTTGGGATCCGCCGTGTCTCCTCGTCTCTCTGAGCCTGGGCTGCATCCGTGTTCATATGCTGGGAGGCAGGGAAAGTATACTGAGGGCTAAAGCCAGGGTGCTTGTTTGTTCGTGCCAACACGGTCTCAGGAAATGCTGAATTAGTTTTCAACTGTAGTGAAGACTGGAAGGCTATGAACTGTTCCCCAACCTCCCTTCTTCATTTAGTAAATCACACAGAACCCAAGCCTTCCTGGGACATGGCAGTGCAGCTGAAGACCACGTTTTCCAGCTGTGCTCACGGCTAGGTGCGATTAGAGGAGCAGTTTCCAGGAGCAGAATCACAGCTCTAGGTCATCTCTGCAAGGAGACAGCCTTCCCTGCTCCCCGCAGCAGATGAGGCTGAGGTATGTGACTGACACTCGCCTGTCCCAAAGAGCCACAGTACCCTCCTGACTGCCCACACCTGCATTCTTCCATAAGATGGAAGCAAGCTTCTTTCTTGTTCAACCCACTGAATTTTGGAGTGGAGAAATGTACATGTGATCACTGTTTTCATACTGCAGCCTTATGGCTTGATGGTGTGGGAAACCATGTAGTTTTTTACTCCCAGGCCTGCCTCTGCAGAACATTTCTTTCTTTCTGGGCTATTGGCCTGCAGGAGGCTTCCATGGTGTCTTCAGAACATGGGAGTTGCTGCATGGTGGGGAAGGAAACCGGGAAAATAAATGCAAACTTCAGCCTCACGACTGCAGGTGACTGACTGGTCTCTAGGCTTGTCCAGCCTGGGTGGACACCCAGGGTCTCATCCACAAGGCAGAGGACTATTTCAGGTCCAAGCTTTCCCAAATCTCCCACAGGAGAGAACCCTGGTGTTTCTTCCACAGCATTTGGGGCCACTTCTTCCTGATCACAGCTCACAGCCACAGTGGAGGTCTGGCTAATGAGACCACTGAAAGGGAGGTTTGTGTCCCAGCCAGCAAGGAAGGGAGGCAAGCAGAGAGGCTGGGTGTGAGGCCTGGCATCTAGATGTCCTCCCAAAGCCTCCGACATTCAGATGGGGCTTGAGGGAGCTGGATCACGGGTGTGTGGTGCTACATTAGTCCACTGCCTGGCTCACCATAGTTCTGAGTGTGGATAATGGGAAGGCCTATTTTGGGTATCATCCAAAATGGGTGTAACCAGGAAGGAATAAAGGGAGATGCAGGCTTGCTGCCTGCTGCCTTCTGCCTGCCTTGCCATGAACTGTTTCTCCTCCGCCACACCACCCTGCCTTAGAGCCAGTGGGCTACGGGCTGAAACCTCTACAAGCTGTGAGCCAAATAAGCCTTTCCCTCCGTAACTGTGGGTGTCAGGTATTTTGCCTCAGCAATGAGAAAAGCAACTAGGACACTAGGGAAGCAACTGAAAGTGGAGGCTGGGAACGCAGGGATTGGAAACAGATTAGAAACCACATTCCCTTCTGACTGTCACCTGAGAGACACTGAAGATGAGAACGAAGCTGCTTCTGGGTGCTGGTCTGTGTGCAAGGGAAAGTGCGGCCCACAATGGCTGTGCCACGGTTCAGCTGTGTGGGGTGGACGTTAAGTCCAAGTCACAGGATTTCTGCACAGCTGCACCTCGGTGGTCTCTGTGAGTGACAGGTGTAACCAAGGTTGGTCCCGGCCTGTGGCCACCGTTGCATATTTTGGTGGAGATGCAGAGCCTGTGAGGGCTGCTGGGAGACTGAGCAGCCGAGGACTGCGAGGAGCTGGGCCCGCTCGGGGCCTGAGGACACCCGCAAGTGCACACTGCTGAGCTCCGTGGCTGAAACTGAAGCCTGGTCAGACATTTCCGCGGCTCTGGGTCTTCCTCAGGCTGCCCGGATCTCAGGTGAACCCCCGCAGTCTAAACTGGCTCCCCTGACAGCGACACTGCAGAAGAGCACGGGCCAGGGGGCCGCACAGGCGTAGCTGGGCTCACTGGCTGCTAGCCTACCTCTCTGGGAAAGAATCCCACCTGGTTCCTGATTCAAAATGACTTCTCAGCGTCCCGGATGCTCTTTCCTTTGTGGTGAACTCAGACCCTCGCTGGGCTCAGAAAGCCCAGGAAGGCAGCCCGGCCTCCCCACTGCCACCGGTGTCCAGGACAGCATGGGGTCCGTGCACCCTAGTCCATTACACGTAGTTTCTAGAATCTCCCCTGTGCCAGGGTGACACTGTGGTCCTCACAGAAGCATGAGGCCTGTTCTCTCCACCCAGCACTGGCTGTGCCTCGACTTCCCTTCTGCACCTGGCCCCTCCCTCACAGAGCCCAGACGGAGCCTACTGCAGGGGCGCAGGCTTCTTCTTCAGAAGGGGCAGACTGCAGATGCATCCGGCTTCACAGGCCAGGTGCTGTCTCTACTGCATATGAGGGCAGCAAGCCATCTTCCGCCCCATCTCTCCAAGTGGTGCTGGGAACTGGCACCCTCAGCAAAGTCCTTCTCATCTTAACTTTTCTCCTACATATATATAAGATTTAAAATAAAATATTTGGAGCTGGGTGAGGTGGTGCATGGCTATAACCCCAGCACTTGTAGGGTGAGGCAGGAGGGTCCTGAGTAGGGAGACTCCGTCTCAAAAGCAAAAGCAAACACTTCTCCTATCCTTGTCAGCCAAAAAAGCATCATTCTTAGGTTCAAACCGCCCGCACCGTCTAGTTCAGTCAAATGAAGATGGAGGAAGGCAGCCCAGGACCCGTCAGCCCCACAAAGGTGGACTGAACAACACAGCGTGACAGTGTGGACGCCAGGTCGGAGGCAATGCTAGGGCTGACAAACCTACTCTGGGAGTCTGAACGATGGAGGCACAGTGTGGAGACACCGCCTTGCCCTGTCTCTGAGCCTTGCCGGACACCATAGCTATGTAACTGAGCTGGAAACTGGCAGCCACTCGATTGACACATGAAGATGCAGGAGATGGAGCTGATTCTAACAGAACTACTGACCTGCAGCCACATGGTGTCCTCCACTTCCTTGCTTGATGGCAACAGCCTGCTGTGAATGTGGAAGGTGGTGACATCGAGAGACCCGGCCCTCGGCCAGCCCTGCAGAGCGGCTTCTGCCATCGAGGGAAACCCTTGCCCGGCTGCTGCCCTGGGGGTGGGGGTGCTGGCGGAGGCATCTGCATCTGCATGGAGGAGCAGAACTCAGAGGCCAGAGGCCAGATGAGAATCACTGGTTCAGGAGGTGTTCCACACGGGGCACCACGCTGGGGATTGATCTAGAACATCTCAGCAGAGTGGATGCATCTGCACACCTCCAGGAAAGATCAGGACATTTTTGACAGCTGTCCTTCATAGCTCTGGCACTGCAGGCATGGCTGCAGAAATGGGAAATGAACACACACCCACACACCAGTGCTCTATTGGAATGGAAACAGAAGTCAGGTGTCTGTAATGAAAGGATATATTTGCTAATCTTTTAGTTATCTGAAAGCCAATGTAAGCTCTGAAAACACGGTTCATCTAGAAAGCCACCCCTGGCTGCCCAAGGCAAGCCCAGGTCTCGGTGTCATTGTCCACGCATCAGTACTTCGGCTCCTGCTCTGCAGGGACAGAGCCCTCCTTGTCCCGCCGGCAGATTCCATGCAGCTGTGGGGAGCACAGCTCCCAGGGATCGGAGTGGGTTCGGGGAGGAGACTCAGCTGGCAGAGCTGTGGCCTGCTGGAGGAGGCCTGGCCCGGCCCGGCCCGGGGAGAGAGCCCACTGCCCACCACTGGTCCCCGCCTGTCCTGCACAGAGATTCCGTGCTCGGGGCTCCCCTTGAATGGGCCAGAGGAGAGAGACACACGAGCTCCAGGCCCGTGGAGGGAAGGGTCGTGCCCTGTGTGCCACTGCTGGTGGCGGTGGCCTGAGGGGAGTGGGAGGCTGAGGGTGTGCTGAGGAGCACTGTGGATTCCCAGCTTCCATCTCACAGGATGTGAGGATGACCACTGTTTCGGGAGGATCGTCTGTATGCCAAAAAGAAATCAAGAGGGGACATCAGGCCGACACAAGCCACACTTAGAGATCTGACAGCACTGTGACCATTGGTTAGGCAGGGACGGTAGGAGCCGAAGCCGGGCTCAGGACTGCTAGTCTGGCAGCTGTGGGGCTCGCGCCTCGTCTGGGGTGCAGAGACGCGGGTTCTGCCTCAGCGTCGGCTCTGCCGCTGACTCCCAGACCAGGCAGCCCGGAACCCGCACTGTGACAGTCACCGCCCTGTGCCTGCACAGAAGGAAGACACTTCCACTGCCTGGTGTGGGATACAGAGGCCCCCGGCAGCCCAATGCACACCGGCCTGTGTCTCCGGGGATGGCACAGCCTTGAAACGGCTCTGCCTGGCGGGGTGCTCCAGGCAGAGGTGCTGTGTGTCCACCCTGCTCTCAGGCCAGCGAGACTTGGTCAGCTCGGGATGAAGAGGTGGCCCGGAGCAGCCAGGGCCCCCAGTCCCCCGAGACGCCAGAAGGATCTGCTCCCCAAGCCATCCAGCCCCACGAAACCCGAGGAAAGTCAGGAGAGCAGAGCTCCCGATGCCTTTCTTTCTTGTTAACTAAGAAAAAACTGCTGACCCTTTTCTTTCTTTCTCTGTTCTCTCACTTTGTTTCATCTGGATTTTTTGTTTTGTTCTAGAAAACTGGGGATTGCACCCAGGGCCTCTGCACTGAGCTACATCCCAAGCCCTTAATGAATTAAATTTTTGAAACAGGGTTTCATTAGACTGCTGTTGCCCAGCACATCCTCCTGCTTCAGCCTCCCAGAGGGTGGGAACTACAGGTGTGTGCCACCAGAGCAGCCTGTTCCCTTCAGCTGAAGCTCCCTTTCCAGGCTCACAGACGCCGCGTGAAGAACGCATCCCCGGAGGCTGCTCAGCAGCAGTGGGAGCAGGAAGAGCCTTATCCCATGAGTCCAGGTACAGCAGCACTGCCAAGCCAGGTGCAGCAGAGCCGTCTTCCCGCCTGCGGCCTCTGGCAGCTGCAGGGCCCGCGCCGCTGTGGGGATGAGCTGAGCGCAGGCCTGCAGCCGCCCCTCAGGCCAGTCTTCCCGGACACTGCCCTGCTGCATCCTCCTCACTGGCGTGGGAGCAGTCGCCCTGGGTGTCCTCGGGTCCCGGGACAGCTGCTGTCCTGGGCCATCTTCGGAGCAGAGCCTCCTCAGGGGCACTGGTTTCCCAGCAAGGAGGACGAGATGGGGCCTCTGCAACACCAGACTGGGTGGGGTCGAGAGCTCTGGACCCTCAGCAGTATGAGCCTTGGAGCACACGGCACCGGCCGCGCCCACTGTGCCACCCCGCCGGGTTGGCCTCAAGAGCAAACTCGGAGGAGAGTGCGCGCCTGCCGCTGTGTGGGGAGGAAGGCCGTGCTCCGTCTCCGCCCCGGCCCAGCGCTGCCTGCCTTCCCCCAGACGAGTGCCAAGCGCTTTCACCAGGGCAGAAATCTCAGGCCCTTCCAGTTCTTCAATCACCGTCTTATCCTTTCTAGGGGTCATTGTGTAACCAGGATTGCAAAAGAGAACTTTTAGAAGTTAGCTATTTTTCCTTTTGGAGATAAGGGACTTCTCCAAACTTCCTGTTGCTGAGAACAACACTTCCTCCCTTCAGCCCCAAAGCAGTGACTGAATATGCAGACGCTGGCCCAAGGGCCCTCCGTTCCCACAGGAAAGGGGGGAGGGGCGAGGCAAGGGTGGAGCTCGGCCTCGGCCATCTGTGCCCCCCTGCCACACAGAGCCTTGCTCACCCGTGCACAGGATTCCAGGGAGGATTTGAGCCAGCTTTGGTTAGATCCTTTTTACAAAAGCAAACAGCCGCCTTGTGGTCAGTGGCGAGCACTGCACAGCCGACGCTGTCTCTACAGGAGCCTTCAGCTCCGACCCCAGGGAGGGAGGACAATGACCACGGGTCGCGCAGCACAGTAAAGTCCGTGGCTGAAGTCAGGCTGATGCCGCCTCCTCGAGGCCTGCAGCAGGCAGGTCATCTGCCCTCTCCTCCTGCCCACTGAGGTCCACATCAGGCCCGTGCTGCAGCTGCAGCCAAGTGATTGTCGATGCTGCTCCTCCACGCACGATAGCTCCATGTATCAGGCCCTCCTCCATGCACGCTCGGTTCCTGGAGCAGTTTTCAGTTTGGGATTAGCCCTGACCTGGAGCCTGGGGCTAAAGTCACCCAACATCACGGAGCTGAGCAGCAGACACAGGACCCCAGAGAACTTATTTTGCTGCCGAGGTCACGTTCTCTCCACCCAGCCCACGCTCCTCAGCTCTCTGAGGTTCCGGGAAAGCATTAGTAGTGATATCGGCCATTTGTTTCACCTCCTCTTCCCAAAGGACCATGCCCATCCCATTTCCTGAGTTGCCGCCCTATTTTATTTGACCTCGTTTATGGCCAATCCACAGTTGTTCTTCAGCCCTTCCCCATTAGCATCTTTTCTAAACACTGAAATATCAACAGTACGTTTTCACAGCTGACTAGAACTGTGTGTGAGGAAATGAGGCACTGGGCTATGCATGATGTCAGTGAAGAATGACAGGAAGTATAAAATGCACTGACCCCGGACAGCAATGAGAAAGCAACTGATGACCTCAGCTTCCTGTCCATGGGTTTGAGACGCACCACCGGAAACCTGCTTGGAGCTGCTCTCCACGACTCCTCAGGGGGACTCAGGGGAGAGATGGCTGCTGTCCAGCCTGGATTCCAGAAAACGAGGCGCAATTCCTTGCTGTGTTCCCTACAAGGAAGGGACGAAACTTGAGATTCCTAAACGGGGAAGAGCAGTTGAAGGAAAGTTTTAAGGGAAAAGAGAAAAATCACAACTCACTTTTGCTTGCCGTCGTGCGGCACCGGCTGCCACCCATGTGCTGGCTGTGAAATTCCTGTGGCCTGAGAGCAGGAGGCAGGACGCACTCTGAGTGAGCCACTGGCCTCCACACTTCCAAGCTTCCATTTTCCTGAAATTCCTCAAACTCCTGGGCTCTGGGATGCCTTAGGACACGGAAGATTTGAGGGACACAAGTGGTTCACAAATTCCCCCTCACTGTCAGAGGAAATAACACTGTGTTTTTGCCGCAAAACTTTCACCTGTTGCTGCTTTCAGAACAACACCAAAGGTGGAAACACTGTAAACCATAGCAGAACCCAGCAGCTCAGTAAACCATGTGGAGAGGCTGGAGACGGAAGGGGAGGACAGGGAAGGCAGGGAGACAGCTCCGAAGGACAGGCTGCAAGCTCTGCCGCACGGGCGACTGACACGTCCAAGGCCCTTCGGTCAGTCGGGAAGCCCAGGGAGGGCAGGAAAGTTGAAAGCCCTCTTAGCTCAGCTGCCTCTTTCTGTTCAGCCTCTGAGCTGTCCCGTGTGCGCTTCAGAGCAGCCCAGACCAGAGGAGGGCGGGCCCGGCTCCAGGGCACACAGGGAGGCGACCTGCAGCCTCGAGGACACTGCACACGGCCACTCGGAGGGCTTTACTGGCAGAACAGCCGAGCCCCAGAGCAGCAGGAGGCCTGTGGCAAGGCTGCTTCCTGTTGACGAAGTTCTGCTCTTGTCTTGGGGTGGGAAATGGGATGCAGCTTTGAAGGGGCAGAATGTCCCGGATGCTGGGGGCGTGAGACTGCCTCTGCTGCTCCTAAGACAGACAGACAGCTCCTCTTTCTCCACTGTGCTCCTTACGTCACTGCTCTTGCAAGTTCATCTCTCTCCGTCCTCCCTTTTCACTGCTTTCTCCCCAACCGTTCCCCTCTTTTCCCCCCGTTCATCTACTCAACGTTGGATTGAGTGCCAAGCACTGTATCTCTAAAGCATAAACCTCTGCCCTCCCAAGCGGAACTGAGTGGCTTAGTCACCCGGATACTCTGTGGCCTGGTCCCTGTCAGTGAGGCCTGGTCCCCAAGGGTGAGGCCTGGTCCTGAGGGTGAGTCCTGGTCCCCGAGGGTGAGGCCTGGTCCCCGAGGGTGAGGCCTGGTCCTGAGGGTGAGGCCTGGTCCTGAGGGTGAGGCCTGGTCCTGAGGGTGAGGCCTGGTCCCCGAGGGTGAGTCCTGGTCCCTGAGGGTGAGGCCTGGTCCTGAGGGTGAGGCCTGGTCCTGAGGGTGAGGCCTGGTCCTGAGGGTGGGGCCTGGTCCTGAGGGTGAGGCCTGGTCCTGAGGGTGCGGCCTGGTCCTGAGGGTGAGGCCTCTCACCCGGGCAGTGGCCTCATCAGGGTGGTTGCCGTGCTCGCCTGGGCTGGGTCCCTACAGTGACGTGCCCTCCACAGCCACCAAGAAGCCAGCTGGAAATGAGTGGGGGCTGCTGGGTGTGGAGAGAAAGGAGACAGTAATTTCTGTAAAAAGGAAAGGTGTCACCAAGCTCCCTGACTTTAAGCTTTTGCAAACATGAGACATATGGCTCTGCAAAGCTCGGAGAACTGCAAACGTGAAAGCTGATTAGCGTTTGCTCTTCCTTCAGATCTACTAACAAGGCATGTGACTCTTCACCCGATCTGACCTGCGGCTGGAGTGCTCTGAACTTCCTTTCTCCTTAAACACCCGAATCTGCCTCCGAGGCCTCAGGCTGCCAAACTTCGCACGCGGAGAACCTCAAAGGCTCAGAGCCCGCCCGCCTCTCCTGTCGGCCCAGCCGAGCAGCCCGGGAAACAGCAGCAGGCCAGGCCGGACCCGGCTTCCCCGGAAGTCAGTGCCACACTCTGCAAGGCCCTGTCCGTGGCTGAGCCCGCCGGAAGCCTCCGGCCTCACACCGTGAATTCCAGTGCCGGAGGGAGGCCAAGGCCACGGGGAAACATGGCTCGGTGCTGATGCCGGTGCCGCCTGCTCAGGAACCGGTGCGCTCCGCGTTCAGCCCCACTGTGCCCCACGATGGCCCAGCCTCTGAGCGCTCGGGGCCACCCCTGGCAGGCAGCGTGACGGGGGAGGGCAGCCGGTGCGCACGCGTGCTCCGCCCTGGCGTGCTGTGCAGGGCACGGCTCCGCGGGCTCTGCTGCACGGAAGCGGGCCTTCTGCCTTCCCTGCTCTGCCGCAGGACTGAAGGGCCTCCTTCAAAGCACGAGCCATCAGGCTTCTCTGCGTCACACGGCCGGCTGTTCACCCAGGCGGGATCGCTTACCTTTGGCTTCCTCTGCCTGCGGCTTGGCTTCTCGTCTAAGGTTTGGGCGTGCGTGGTCGGCGAGGGTGGCCACAGGGGCGCACAGAACAGCAACGCACGCTCCGCAGGCCTGGGCCCGCGTCGGCATCCGCTTGGGGCTCGCTTGGTTCCCTGCCAGGGCAGGAGGCCAGGCCTCTCGCGCGCGGGCTGCAGGCGACACCTCCTCTGCGCGTCCTCACGGGCCCTCTGCAGTGCGAGGCCTGGGCCCTCTCCGAGAGCCCTCTGTGCAGACGGGTCTCCAGGACGGTCACAGCGAGGCGCTGGGCCAGGACCTGGACGCCCGGAGTTTAGAAAGGCGGCACGTTTGGGATCCACAGCGGCCCCAGAGCCTCACCGCGCAGGCGACTGGACTGAGGACGCTGTGGCTGGCCGGCTCCTGCAGTAGGGCCTGGCTGGCCTGGGAGGCTGTGCGCTCTTGCCTCCTCGAGGCGCGCAGCTGTGGTCGGCGGGACGCAGCACCGCGGCACGGCCTCGCCAGCCAGAGCTTCGGGCCCGGAGCAGCGGCCACAGCTCCCCTTGCCTGTCGCTAGGGGGCTGAGCTCCCCGTGGCCCGGAGCCCTGTGTGTGCCCTGCCGAGCGGCGAGGACACACCGAGGGCCCTGGACGGAATCGGGGGTGCTTGCGTGCGCGGGTGCGTGCGCCGCACTCCCGAGGGACGCGGTTTCATCCTGTGCCCTGAGCCCTCAGCTGCAAGAAACCAAACTTCTCTGCGTGGATTTAAGGACAAAAGGGCTTTTGCAGAAAGGGATCGGGCAGCTCGTTGAATCGGCGGGAATGCCAGACAAGTGGACTTGAGAATAGGCCCGGAAAAGGGAGCAGCAGCCAGGGCTACAGCCAAGCCCGCCCTGGGGCCAGGCGGCCCGATATCCTGGGCGCACTGCCTTTCTGGGCGCTGCCAGCGCTGCGGGGCGCAAAGGCCTCCCGGGGTGCACGCCCCTCCCCGCTCCTGGCCTCGCTCTGGCTCTGGCTCTGGCTCTGGCTCTGGCTCTGGGTCAGACCAGGGCGTTCACATGCGACGGGCCGCCCCGCTCTCCCACTCTGAACCCACGGGGCGCGCACAGGGGAGCAACCCGGCCGGGGCAATGGGACAAGCCCTCTGCCGCTGGGCTGAGAAGGACTGGCCGGCACGGCCTGGCCAACAGACAAGTGAGGGCCCACTTTGCCGGGCGGGGCCAGGAAACCACGCTTTGCGAGGCGAGGCGGGAAGACGAGGAGGGTTAGGCTGCGGTGTAACGCCCCCCTCCCGACGCTGCAGGGGCCCCGCCCGCCCGCACGCGGCCTTCTCTGGGCGGCCAGGCTTCTCCTGCTCCGCGGCGGCCGCCGGCTGCGGATGGAGCCGATCTCCCGCGCCCAGAGGCGCAGAGGCGGAGGCCGGCTGCCTGCCCGCCCCTCCAGGGGGCGACCCGCCGGCCGCGAGCAGGCTGCGGAAAACCGAGCGCCCCCGGGCTCCCAGAAGTCGGCTTCGGCTGGCTGAGCGCCTCCCCCGGCCTGCAGCGGGGCGAACAGACTGGCGGCCCGGGGCTTTGGCCGCTGGTCCCGCGCTCTTTTGCGGGGGGGGGGGGGGGGACTCGTGTTTTATTTTCCATCAGCCTCATTTCCATTTTGCTTAGGTGTCTGCAGAGCGAACAGCTCAAGACCACTCAGTGCTGGTTCCTACCCGCTCAGTGGTCTGAGCAGTGGGGCTGCAGACCCGTCTTCCGAGGGGAACTGCCGCATGGGCACAGAGGGCACCTGCACACCCTCAGACCAGTCTGCAACCTCAGGCTGAGCAGCAGTGAACTCTGGAGCCCGTGCAGTCCATTCGCCCTGCAATTCCTCCTCGGTCACAGCCTTTTCAGCAGCAGCCTGCTCTTCCTTTTCAGTCTCTTCAGGATTGCTGTAGAAGTGGAGATCAGGCGTGACCTCCCACGGGTGTTCAGGGAGATGGTGCCATGCACGCGCAGCCCTTCCCGGGCCAGCACCCACATCAGACCCACTGAGTGAGCCCCCTTGTTGCATGGCATGGCGATGTCCACATAGCGCAGAGGAGAATCTGTTACACGGAGCAGTGGGCGGCACATTGACGTAAGACACCCCCGTGAGGGGCTGGTGGTCAGCCCTGGGATCCGTCACCACCGGAAGACGCGGCTCTCGGAGGGCTGCCTGGATCCGGTCAGTGAAGGTCCCGGGAGTGAAGCAGCCCGCGATAGGAGCAGCTCCAGTGGCAGCGGCAACTCCGGCACAGCCCGATGGTGGTGTTCCTAGAGGCTATGACGCTGGCACCAGCAGGGTTTTCAGTGGCGACCATGGCTCATGCAGCAGCGGGAGTTTTTCCAGGTGCGCTTCAGATTTATGATGTAGGTTCCATCACTTTCCTTCTGTAAATGAACTGTTCCATCTGGAAATCCAGGTCGGTGCCACCGAAGTGGGCTCCTGCGGCGAGGAATTTGAGGACCTCCTCCTCCTCCATTTGCAGGACATCAAGGACTCCGGACGTTGTGAAAGTTTCCCTTTAAGTTACGATGGGAATCACGAACAACGCCATCCGGACCCCTGCCTTGTCCTGACATGGACGTTTCTCTCGCAGGTGCCCTGGCAGAGTCCCCAGAGCACAGCTTTATAATCAAGCAGCTTCAGCTCCACCACGACCCATTTGTTAGCTGCGCGACCTTCACAACTAACGCAGCGCCGGCACCCTGTCCTCATCTGGGAAGCAGGTTAATGACTGCTGTGGGGACCAAATAACCCTCTGCCTGTGCTTTAGATGCACACAGAATGCCGAGCACGCAGCAAGCCCGCTTCTCGTTCCTCCACACCGTCCCCATTCTCTGTCCCCGGGGCAGCAGCCCTCATGCACTCGAGCAGGACCCCATCTGCCCCTGCATCTCCGTGTGCAGCTCTTGCGAGGCCAGACGGCCACACACGGATCATCCTTCTGCCCGGAGGAGGATTCTCAGGTCCACACTTTTTCTTGGCAGGTCTTGTTTTTGTTTTGCTTTGCTTTGTAAATGAACTGGCTTTCTGATCACTGGGACTTCCATCCTCAGTGGGACACAAGATCACCTGATCCAGAAGCTCCCAGTTCCCTCAAGTGGCCAAAGCAGGTAGGGAGTGGCAACGGCAGACCACACGGCAGGGGGGGACCCCAGGCCAGTGACCAGCTTCTGCCCCAGCCAGGTTTTGGAGCTGGAGGAGCAGCCCTGCCTTGGGAGGAGCTGCCCCGTACCCTGCCAAGTCTACACAGTGACTCACAGGTATTACTGTACCAGGAAAGGGTGGAGAGCAGCACCCAGAACTGTGGGCAGTGAGCGGACAGTGACCCCACATGATGCGGAAACCTAGGCTCCACTCCAGGGCCTCAGGTGGTCCAGGGACCACCCTGGTCTCTGAATGTACAAATGAAATGGGATATGGATTAAAGTCAGATCCAGACTCTGGTCTCCTGGAAGCTGGAGGTCATCACAGGCTCACGCTGCGTCCTCGGGTGTGGGCAAAGGCCAGAACCGTTGGACGAACACACCAGTTGTCCCCACAGGCCCCTGGGCCAGATGCCAGTTACAGACATCCCAGGGAAGAATAGCCAGACCGAGTTCCACCATGAGAGTCCTACAGGAAGCGGAGAGCTGATCCTTGGAGCTGCCCTTATGTGTCAGTCTGGCCCGAAAAGAGCAGGTGGATCCTGGGAGACGTCACAGCGCAGCGCCAGGGGCAGCTGTGTGCCAGGCACAGTGCAGCCCTCGCCGCACACAGCCACTGACCTGCAGGAGTAGTGACACTCGCCTTTCTTCCTCTCATCCAGACGGCCCTCACCTTGGTCAGCATCTGGGACACAGACGGTAAGAGGAGTGAGCGCATTTTATTGTATGTAAGATGACGAAACGCAGTGGATCGGAACACTGTCCAGGGCAGGAATGTTGTGCAGTTTCGAATAGGTCAGGGTTGGCGTCACTGAGAGATGGCGTTTCTTGCAAAGTCTTGATGAGGATGATGGTGTGGGTCCCTGATAATTTAGGGGAAGAACACTGCACAAGATGAACATCTGGTTAAAAGGCCCTGAGCTGGCCTGTATCGCTCCAGGCTTCTGGGAGAACAAGGAGGTTAGTGTAGGGTGCAGAGGCAAAAGAGGGCCCGACAGGGGGCCTTGGACAGCCTTCAGGGAAGGACAGGAGGGGCCGGCACAAGTGCTGACGCGAGAGCAGCATGACCTGAATGCAGCTATGAGCAGGATGGCTCTGACCCGTGTGCTGGGAAGGTGGGTGGAATTTGGGAGAACGACACTTGCAATGGGGTGTTGGCAGCAAATGTGGGGACCAACCAGACTGGAGGTATCTTTAGCAGATATCCCGGAGGATCTGCTAGCAGACTGCATGTGAGTACGAGAGAAGTTTCCAGTCTGAGCACCTGGAGGATGCAGTCTCCATTTACTTTACAGAGATGCTAGGTGTGGAACAGGAGCGTGTTCTGGGACAGGACTGTGATCTGGATGAAGGTAAGGCTGCAACGTCCCGCAGAGACCGGAATAGGAATGCTGGGGAGAAGCTGGAAGCAGGCGCTTGCAGTCAGGAGAGGAGCCACCTGCCCCTCCATGGGGATCAAGAGCCCAAGGTCCAAGTGCTGAGGGAAGGGCAGACAGAAGAGGCCCTGGGTCCCTGCACAGTAAAGGTCCAGGAGGTGAGGAGGAACCAGGCAGAGCGGAGGTGCCGGGGCGCTGAGGAGGCTACTGAGGAGAGCACAGACACGGCCGTGCCCTAAGAGCAGCAGAGGACATCAGGAGAGAGGGCATTTGTGTATAATCAGTGAGCTAAGGCCGGAGAGCCGGGTGACCCTGAGGGGCCAAACCTCAACTGGCCTGGGCTCAGAAGCAAAGAGGGCATGAAAACTGCAGACGGGGAGCAGGAAATTCACTCCAGAAGCTTTCCCAGAAGGGAGGGTGGGATGGAGGTGGGAAGTCATCAGTTAGAGCCCCTGGGCAGCCCACCTGCCTGCAGGGAAAGGGTGCAGAGACGGACTCGGGTGCAGGGCAGGGCGGGGTGGGGGGAGCAGGTGAGGGCTTTGCGTGGTGCTGCCCTTCTCTCTGGTTCAGGAACTGACTGAGCCATCCTATCGCCCACTAGTGAGGTGACTCAGGCCAAGCTGTTCAGCATCTCCAGGTGCGGCTGCCTGACTGTAGCATGGAGACAGTAACATGACCTGTTACAGACTGTCGGGGGCATTACGTGAGCCAATACTTGAAAATGCTGAGAATAACCAGCACAGCAAGCAACTAAAACAGGTAACTTTTAACCTGTATCATAGATCCTGCTTTTAATGGAGCAATAAGAGGAAAGGAGTTGGGAAACACGTTTCAGAACCTAGTCTTTATTTAAATAAAGTATGTCTGTTCTTTAAAAAGCCACTTCTATGTTGGGGCTTTCCTCCTGCCTGTAAAGTACAGTGTAACATGGATTATGGGTGTTACTAGTTGCTGTGAACACCAGGTGTTGCCACGTACTAAATATGCCTTGAGAACTTTCTCTTTTTTTTTCAGGCAGGGTCTTGCTGTGTAGTTCAGGCTGGTCTTGAACTTGCTATGTAGCCCACCCTGGCTTCAAACTCGTGATCCTCCTGCCTCAGCGTCCTGAGTGCTGATAACAGGTGTGCGCCACCACGCCTGGCTAAGTCTTCATATTATGAAGGTTGATATTACTGTTCTGTTGTCATTAGAACTTCATGGGGACAATTAGTACTTAAAATCAATTTTAAAACATTTCATTTATTGTGAATTCAGTGTGGGCTCAAAGCTTCTTGAAAAGTCAGTGTGTTTTAGCCTTTTTGGAGAAAGCGAGCATGATATCCACACACGTGCCTGTACTGACATTGCACTGCTTCTGTGACCTTCGTGAGGAGCAGTGGCCTGGCAGAGAACCCCCACACATCCAGGGCAGGAGCGCAGGGCCCAGACTCTACTTCTCCGCCTGTGTTGGACAGAGGACCAGGTCTGCACAGGGCAGCATCTCCTGCGTCCCCCTCCGCTTCCCACGAGGACCCTGCAGGCAGGAAATCCAGTCTGAAAATCCGGTGTGCTAGATCCCTCGACAGTTTTAGGTCCCCATCGTTAAAATGAGTTTAATTTCACATGGCATGGTGGTGCAGGCCTATAATCCGAGGATTCTGGGAGGCTGAGGCAGGAGGATTATAAATTCTTGGCAACTTAGCAAGACCTTGTCTCAAAATAAAAAATGGACTGGGGATGTATCTCAGTGTGAAGGCCCTGGGTTCAATCCCCAGTAGCAAAAAAATCAAAAGCCAAACAAGAGCTTAATTTCCCAAAAGTGATAAAATAGATCATTAGAGATCAAAATTGAATTACTTCTCAGTTTAAAATTATCTGGTCTATTACTGCTCTGTAATTCCGAACAGGATGAGAGAGGCCTACGGCACTTAACACATTTGCTTCTCAAGCTGGATCTAGTCCCTGCTTGGCTGACAATTGTGAAGTTAAACATCTGGAAAACAGTAAAATGTGCCAGAGCCGAGGAGGGCTTTCCTACATGTATCTCAGGGTGACCCCTCCACACCGTCCCAAGTGACCTGGCTTTCACCTGTTTCTGGGAGCCCTGAGGTTCTTATGAGGAGCAGCGCCCGCACAGCAGAGCGGAAGCCTGACAGCCAGCAGCACAGCAGATGAGGTGAGAAGACAGCGTGCTGTCAACTCAGAATCTATAAGGCTGCAGGACACAGGGTTGTGGTCGGCGACCGGCCAGCCGGGCTGCAGCATCTGGGCCAGGTAGTCGCCGGCAGCCCAGCCCCCACCACGTCATGAGCCGAGGTGAACAGATGGGGCCTGGATCAGTGAGATGCAGGTCCATGCTCACCTGGGAAGGGCAGAGAGAGGAACCTGGGACCAGACCCCAACACAAATCCACAGCCGCAGGGACCTGAAGTGGGAGAGTCTTGCAGACAGGAAGCGGGGCCGTCACTCACTGCAAAGTGATGACAAGGACCCGGAGGACCTGCAGAGGCCACAGGAAGCGCTCTTGGACTGGGGTGCTCTCCTGTGGTGACGAGGCTCCGTGGCACCCCGACAGCAGGCCCACCTTCACCACTGGCCTCTTGAGCTTCCACTTCGTGTGCTGCAAGCACACAGGGCTCAGACATGCTGGCCCTCCGCATGTGTGCATGAGATTCTGATGCCTGCCGGGCGGCTGCGGGCCGGCCTAAAACCCAGCTCACCTGATTGCTGACTTTTCTGCAGCACGTGGCTCCCATCCGTGTCAGCAGGCACTGCAAAAGTTACATCCGAAGTCCTATGCAATATCTCAACACTGGTTTGGCTCACCTTGAAAACCCTAAGTTAAACCAAGTTTGTCCTCACATTAAAATGCACGTGATACAAATGCTTCCTTTCTGGTCATTCAACTCTGCAATAGCATTAAGGGTCCAACCAAAAGTAAAGAGTGAACTGAAGATAATTTGCAAGCACAAGATAGCGTGCTCCCCGTTTCTTGGTGAGATTGGCCCACTGTGTGTAACCTACTTCCTTCCTAGGAGCCCAGCATCTACACAGACACACCAGCAATGCTATTAATCTAGTTCACCTCTTGCTACTTGTACAAATGCTTCCTTAGATGCACCGTTAAGCCTCCAGGGAGGAGGGGTGACAGCTTATCTGGTGTACGGACGGCTCGGGTGTGTCCTGTGGATGGCGAGCGACAGTGAGGAGGCCACTGTCCCTGGCTATGCCACAAGCCCGATGGGACGCTGAAAGCAGCCCCATGGAGCGAGCGCCTCTGCCCTCCTCCATGCTGCAGTGTGGACAGCAGGCTCGGAGGGTGTCCTGAGCACTGAGGGACACGTGCAGCCTGGCCCCCCCACCACGCCTGCAGAGGACGGCTCACTGGTCCCGCCCGTCCCCAGGGGCCTCGACTCCAGGTGGGCAGGCTCTGCACTCCTGCGTGTGCTCGGCCTCCCCCGGGGCTGACCTGGATTTTCTCTGGCCCTGGTCTTCCAGGGTTTCGCCCTGAGGCAGGTGGGTCAGCACATGGGAGGAGACAGAAATCAAGGGCACACAGAGGACATTAGACTTGTTAGGGTGAAAGTCTAAAATTTGGTTGAATTATGCAGAAGACTTAAAGATATTAAAATAATATGCTGTTTTGCCTATATTTCTATAATTCTAAAAATTCCAACAATGAAGTCCCTCATAAATTTTATATACCACATAAATATACACTGAAGATTAATCTTTTACAGTGTCAGGTAATTCATTTATTTTACATAGTGATAATAAAACTTCGACTGTTTCCTCTCACAAGGAAAATTAAGAATAGCTTTTATTATGTTTAAACAACTTACATTTTAAAATTATTTCAAGGAGTCCACTGGAGTGAGATAAATTCTGATAAGCTGATTCAGAAGTAAAGGTTACTTCTAACACCTTTCTTTATTGCCTAGAAATAGGATCTTTCTGACCGCACAACTCCCCTTGCTCATGCGCTTCCTGGACACACACATCAAAGACCGTGTCAGAGAAAGCTGCAGTTTCGACCCTCAAGATAATAAACCGTTTCTCAGTTCTGAAGCCACAGCAGCGGAGGAGCCTGCACCACTAGCGACTCTCCCGAGTTGCCCGGACCACGGACCAAGTCTGCGGCTGAGGGTGGGGAGGACCAGAGGGTTCGGGAAGCCCCCACGATTCCAGACAGTGTGCTGCTGCCGGAAGTAGCAGGTGCTAGGAGCACATCAGCATCAACGTGAAGGGACGCGGCACAGACCAAGCAAGACTGCGGACACAGATATGGCCACAGCAAGGCTGCCCACACACAGAAGCAAGCTGTGATAGAAGTTTAATTTTTTTTTTATGAAGAAGGGAAGTGTTTACACTGAGAACTTCATTCCACTAAGGATTATGTCTGTTTACAAAATCGAGATGTGTACTTATTTCTAGCTGGGTAAGGGCCCAAGCATAAACACATGGCAATTCTAATTTGGCCCAATGACCCTGGAAGTACTACGACTGAACGTAGGAGGGTTGGTCAGCATAAATAGCAGGACCTGACAGGCACAGACACTGGTACGGAGTAGAGGGTGCCCAGGCGGTCATACAAGAACCAGGGAAGAGAGACAAGCACACACTGCATGTTAGAATGCGGATTACTCGATGTCCCCAAGAGATGCATTACGTACAAAAATGAAATCTCTCACTAAAAATGAGACTTCTAGAATCAAAACTCACAGTAAAGAATACAAATACTATAAACAATGATAATAGAATGGATCAAACCTAATAGGTTAGGTACTTCCGGCATGGAAAACCTAACACATCATTTCTACAAAAGATACCAAGTTTCAAAGACAAAAATTCATAAGAAAGGGACTTAAAAGTTTGCCATCAAAAATATCAGTCTCACACTGTGGCTCAGTTTTGAAATATACTCATCTACATAATCAGACATATCCAGACCAAAAGTCAACTAGTCAAAAACTCACATCCTTTCTTTTTCCTTTAGTTATAGTAAGAATACCAAAACTTGGGAAAGAAAGAATACTGAAAGAATAGGAATTATTTCGAATCATACTGTACTGGGAAATTCTTAAACTTAACCATAGAAATAATAAATTAATTAAACCAGAGACTTGATGTTTTAGAATAAGCTTAACTGAATATGCAATAAAAATTTTATAATCACTGCTTATGTTTGTCAGCTGCTTAAGATGCTTCAAAACTTTAGAAGGCTCATGCATACTAAATTCATAGTTTAAAATTTTCCAGAAAATTTACTCAGCCAATTTTGAAATTAATGTTTCCATGCTCAAGAAAAATTAGGTTCCTAAATTTTGTTTTTTCTGCATTTAATGAAGTGAACATTAAGCAAAGTATGTGTAGTTTGAAGTAATCTTCATGTCCTTCAAAAGTCCTTAAGACAATTAAGGAATTGTTACAAATGCATAATTCAGAAGAGAAAAATCTGTAACAATGGACTCCTGATGACTTCTGCTAGAATCCAAAGGAAGAAGTGATTTTAAAAGCACACAGAAAGACAGGGCTTGTGTTACCTATTCCTTCCAAACCCAGTAATTTGCCTGCTTTTGAAGACAAGCGAATCATGGCTGAGCAGGGATCACATTTCCATGTTAACCACCTGGGTGGTGGCACACGACACATGATTGGCTGGCACATTCTTTCCGACCACAGTTACCGCTGTGCTGGAGGCATGTCCCCAAGAGGCACGAAGGGTTGGCTCAAGGACACAGGAAAATTCAAAGGTCAGTGCTTCAGAAAAGCTGCCCTATGACCAATCACCCAGTATCCAGGAATACCATGGAAGTGTAAAGAAGCCTCTCCAAGGATAGGGTAAAAGCAGCAGTCAGTATCTCCTGCGTGAGGGTAAACACACAAGTGATAGCAGAAAAGTCACAAGTTTGGCAAACCATCCCAAATGATAACAAATATTCAGCATACTCACCACAGCCAGGGTGCAGATACAAGAAGAAAGGAAAAGAGTTCATCTGCCTTGTTAAGATTTAAAGACTACTACCTTCCTGGCATTTGCTTCTGGATGAAGGGAAGAAGGGATTTAGGAAAGAACCTCTCTTTCATTAAAAAAAAAAAAAAAAGATGAAAAAGCAGAAACATCTCTGAAATGTCAAGTACTCTCCTTGCAAGATGAAGCTTCGCATTAGCCCACTGTCGCAAGTGCTGGCCGTGCAGTGCGAAGGTAACCTGGCACTGGGAACCGCGCGAGCCCGAGGACTCTGCTCTGAGCTGGGAGGGCTGTGCATAGTCACGGCTTCTTCCTCATCTCTTCATCCCAGTCAAAATCCAATACTTCGTCATCTAGCTCTGGTAAAGTGAAGAGAGAGTTTTTAGAGAGAGTTGGTTTCTCGGCAGAGGCCTGCAGCTGGAAGGACTTCCGTTTGCTGCCAAGCCCTGGCGCTGAGGGAGCGTGCGCCCGGCCTGGGGGCTCCGCCTGGGACTCGGCCGGGGGAGTGAAGGAGAACCTAGCCAGGGCGGCCAGGGTGCCCGAGTGCACCTTACTGCCTTTGCTGCTGCAGGGAGCCTCCTCCCTCCGGGCTCGCTCCCTGCACAGACGCGCGGGGCCTGCCTGGTTCGTGGGCTCCGGTTCAGGGCCAGGGCCAGGGCTCCTCTCCTCTCGGCACGCGTCTTCCGGGCAGGGCTGCTGTGGCCGCTGCTCCAGCTCACCCTGGGGCTGCTGGCAGCCTCTGCCTGCCGAGGTGGGCGCTGGCTCCTTGGGACTCTTCACAGCTCGTCTCCCAGACCCCTGCTGGGGGGCTGCCCACCTGGGACCTGGCACTTCACTGGTGCCGGGCGGCCCAGGGCTGTGGGTCAGTCTTGACTTCTGCTTGAAAGTGAACTTCGCTAGCTTGACCTCGGGGCGGCCTGGGCTCTCGGCACCCGCGGCGGGCAGATCCAAGGTACCTTTGGGGCCATGTGCAGGGGCAGAATGCAGAAGGCCAGGGCCCTGGGGCTGGGCTGGAGCCTGGCTGGGGAGCCTTCCCAGCCGCCGGGCGCCCTCCTGCAGCCTCCTGGGTGGCCTGCCAGGGACAGCAGGAGCCAAGTCCAGCTCCTCCCCTTGGCCCGCTGCCGCCTCAGACCCGGAAGCACCCCTTTTTGTCTCTTTACCCTCAGCACTGGCGGCTTCGGGTGATGGGAGCTGAGCAGCTGCCGACGGGCTCCGGAGGCCTGGCCAGCTCACTCCCTTAACCCGAGATCTGCTGTCAGGAATTTCCAAAGCTGTGTCTCCCTCAGCTGCCCGGGAACCAGGCGACACAAGAGCAGTGTTTCTAGGTGCTGTCCGCTGAGCAGCCACAGGGTCTCCCCAGTCCCGGCTGTCATCTCTTGGGCCTCTGTGCCCACCTGAGGACCCACTGGGCCCCGGGTCAGCCAGGGCGTCCAGAACTGGGCTTCCCCAGGGCCTTCCTCCAGGCAGGGCCCACCGGCTACAGCTCAGCTCCTGCTGTGTCGAAGTCCTCAACTTCAGGCTGTCCTCCGGGTCATCTCCGGAGGACCCTGGAGGGGTCTCCACCTCCACCTCCACCTCCGCCTCCGCCTCAAGAGGCTGGGACGGATGCAAACCCTCATTCTGCAACCTGGAACAGACAGGGAAGGAAAACTCGAGTGAGGGGAGCAGAATCTGCCACGACCTTTCCATCTCCTTGGTGCCCAAGACGCCCCCTGCAAGATTTAAGCCCAACATCAGCCCAAGAGAGTATCAGGAAGAGGTTCCTGGAGCAACAGAGGGGACTCCCCTTAAAACATCACTACAGGAGACCGCTCTGACACGCATCCTGAACCTGGAGGGAGCTGGAGGGATCACCCCGGGATCTGCAGACTGAAGGTCAGTGTGGACAGGCCTCGGCTCAGTGTTGCTGAGCAGCTGTGTCGCTGGTTGTTAGCAGCTAAGCATGCAGACTGGAACCGAGGTGGGACTGGAGTTAGGACCAGCATCCCTGCCCAGCAGGCACGGGACTCGGGTACCCGAGTCACTTCCTCTGGAGCGCAGTTGGCGTTCAGTCTGGGGGGCTCCCAGGCAGCGGGGACACCTCTCCTGCAGAGCCCGGTCACTCTGACACAGCCAAAACCTCTTTCCTCGCTGCGTGAGGAATCTGTTCAGCAACACTCATTCTGAATGCACTGGAGGAACACTGCGACTGTGCTCCACCGGGCGGGAGCAGCCTGCAGCAGGGCCCCTCAGAAAGCCCTCTGTCACCCACAAGTGGCCTCCCGTGGCCCTGACTGCCCGTGCTAAACCTGGGGAAAATCACACCCAGAGCAGACAAGAAACTCATGCACAACTCCCCGGTACCTGTTTAGGGGTACTGGGGATTGCCTGCAGGGCTTCACGCCGAGCCACATGCCGAGCCCTCTGTGTGCATGCGTGAATTTTACCCTGGGCCGGCCAGGCTGCCCAGTCTCCAGCTCTGAGAGCTGGCCTCACAGCATCCACCACATCTGGCTGGCTCTGTTATTTGAATCAATTCTCCCCAGAAATCGAGTTCTTCCCACACAAGTGTCTGGAGTTGCACCCCAGCTTCCTCCACGACAGGCTCTGGCCTCCACTCTGAGGTGAGCTGGCCACTACCGGGGGCAGGCTGTCACTGGTAACACATTCTCCACAAGCAGTCGGATAAAATACCAGTGATTTTATTATAACTTCATGACCTCTTCAAGAAACACAGAACTCTTTCCTACAGAGTGAAAACCCATACACAAGTTGGCTTTTTCTCCCTTGCCAAGATTAACATTAGACTGGGTCTAGTGCATAGCATCTGGTTGTTACTGTGAGGTTCAAAGCCAGAACACTACAAAGAAATACCCCCGACAAAGGACACAGTAAGGCAGAGCCCTGCCTTCCAGACAGCCGGACTCCCTTCCTCCTCCTCCTCTTCCTCCTCCTCCTCCTCCTCCGGGACAGCTGTGTTTGAATTTGAGATGTTCACTGCCACCTGTCTAAGGCATAGCACCGACCGACTCACATTTGCTCCTTTTCTCAACCCACTGTCCTGCAGTTTCTGTCACCCGGGCACAGGGAGGGAGCAGCCCTCCGCAGGCAAAGGCGAGGGGCTGCAAAGGGTCAGCGGCACCAAGACATCCGTGACTCAGCGTGGCACCGCACTCTGGGCCACAAGAGAGGCGGCTGGTTCCAAACAAGCGCAGGCTCATTGCCGCCCACACCCAGGCCCACAGGACGGACTCAGCCCCGCTTCCCCAGCCAGTGGCCGAGCTCCGGGTGGAAACAAGAAAGAGGGTGCTGCAGGAGTAGAGAGGAAGCATGCGGACAGAGGGCAGGAGCGGCGAGGCTTCCACGCTGGTGCGGTCCCCGCTCCTTCCACAGCGCCCTCCACGCACGCTCCCAGCCCCAGGCCCCGGCTGGAGGTGCCCAAGGGCCAGCCACTCCCCGGTCACGAACGTGTCTGCGTGGACAGCCTCGCCATTCCTCAGCCCACTGCTCAGGGACAGACCCGCGCACGCAGGTCTGAGCAGCGGCGTCCAGGCCGGATTTCGGTAGTGATCTATAACGAATCTGTCTTGTGACAACTCCCGAGGCACGTGCCTTCCCACTGTCCACACTGTCACGACTCACAGGAAGGCTGAGTGTGAAACTGTCACTCGTAGGCGTGGCCCCAGTGACCTGTGTGGAGCAGAGACAAGCCCTCTCCTGAGCCTGGCTGCATCTCTGACACCCACAGAGCGAGTGTTCATTAGGGTGTTTAAGAAGCCACTGGGTCTTAGAGTGTTTATTACACATCAAGAAATAACCAGTACGGGACAGGTAGATTTTCACTCAACTTACACTCCGAGGGCTCTCAACTGCTGGAAGGATTTCCATTATCTCCCTCTCTTGGTTTTCTTTCCTTACCTTTCCAGTCTTTGAAGCTCTTCGCTCAAGAGGCCCTGCAGCTCCAGCCTCTGGAGAATGAGCTCGCACTGCTGCCGGTACTGCGCCCGAGGGTCTTCAGGAAAGGCAGTGTGGAGAGCGTTCACCCCTCCTAGCAGCGCACCTCCCTGCAGGGGAGAGGGCAGCAGAGTCGCAGGGCAGCCGCACCTCCGGGAACCACTTACCCTGGGGCGCTGCCACTGCCCTCCACCCCACCAGTGGATCCCTGGGACCCCTTCTCTGCCCAGAAGCTCTGGGCAGCGGTGACTGCTCCAGGGTGCCCAGACCCACTGCTTTACCCCAGCACTCAGCGACAAGGGCAGTGAGGGCCCGCTGCGTGTTCTAGCACTTGCTAGGTCCAAACGCGATCATGTGGGTAGCTCCAGACAGACAACTCAGGCAGAGCTCCCAACAGGGTAGATGTTCAGTGCACAAAGCACCCTCACCTGCATGGAGGACTCCATCACTGACACTACTGTGATGGCGTCTTCCAGAGTCACAGTGTCACGAAACATCAGGCGGGCATGAGCTGCAAAATGAAGTGCATCTGATTTTAGGAGTATCTGAGGGGATAAATGGAACCCTGTACCTGACTCCCCTCTTCCAAAACTGTATTTTAGGAATGAGACATTCATAATAAATTAATCTTGCCAGATGAAGTACAAAGTCCACATTCAACTGACTTTACAGTTTTTGTTAGTAATGGACCTAAATGTTCCACATAGCCCATGCAATGTTAACTATTTAGATGAAAAAGTACTTTGGATTCTAGAAAATAAAGGGTCTGTATAAACATATATTTAATATTCAGCAACTTTTAATGCTTGCTTTTTAATCTATTGTAGAAACATACAAAATTAAAACCCATTTTTCATCTCTGGCACTTCTTTTTGTCTATGGTTTATGAGCTTCTAAAAGCTACCACATGAACAAGCCTGAATTTTGGCTATATCTTGCCTTAATATTAGCTATAAATCCTTGAAAAAATGAGGTCCTTTTGTTTACCATACCTTTACTAAGCTCATGTGATTTCATCACATGATGCACTCAGTTCGCGTGAATGTTTAAAGAATGATTTGAATAAGGCTGAAGTGTAAAGCCAGTGTTAGAAGGCATCGGGGCGCGTGTCAGTTACTGTCCACGTCAGTCCCGCGCCGAGGGTGGCCCAGGGCACCACCTTGTTCCCTTGTTGCTGTAACAGTGGGAGGGGCCAAGTGGCTGATAAGGAGCAAGAACCCCACGATGCCAACAAGAACCTCCCCAGTTCGGATGCGCAGCAGAGGCGAGGCCGTCTAGAGGGAAGGTCCTTATGTGGCGGGCAGTCCTGACAGGGCACCGAGGACACTGCTTCTGCCCAGAGCCCCTTCCTGGGCTGGAGCAGCAAGGTCCAGGGCTGGGGCCTTCGCTGACACTGACACGGGCGCCCTAGGCAAGGACGGCTGCCCGGAGCCCAGGGAGCCACTCGGTGACTGGCACCCACCTTCTGCTAAGCGGATCAAGCTCTCCAGCAGGCGGATGGTCGTGCGGGCCGCGTTTCGGGCGTCGCTCCGCCTCTGCATCTGGTAGTAGCGCAGGAGAACCTGGTTGCCCGCCTCCGACAGCCTAGGCTGCAGCGTCCTGATGAGGCAGAAGTAGGTCTTCATCTTCTCCATGTTCCACAGCTTCTCAGGCTTGCTCGGGTAACCTGTGTCACCAGTGAATTTAACCACACGAGTGTCACTGAGAAGGGTTTCCACTCTCCCACTCACCTGAAAAGATGGCCCAGCTCTGCGTCGTCCAGGACGAGCAGGCCTGGGATCTGACCGATAAAGCGCACCTTGGGGTTCATCATTCCACACTCTGGGCTGCTGGCTAGCAAGCAGAGTGCGTGAGGAAACCTGCTCACACAGAGACTCGCATCTAGCGATTTCCACTCACAATCCATCCAGTGTGTGTGGCAAGAGCCCACTGGCACCATGGAGTCATGATGTCGCCTCCTGCCCTCACAGCACTCAGGTCAGCCTGCAGTAATCTCACCCGGCAGGAGGCGAGGCCCTGCCCTTCCGCTCACCTCCCCTCACTCCTGCCTCCCGGCTACGCAGCCCTCCCTCCGTTGTCTGCAAAAAGGGTATCTCGGGTGTTTCATTTTTTTCAAGGAGAATTTCCTTCCTTTAGACCTACACTTTCCCTGTCAGCCTGAGTGGTTTTCTTTGCACACCTTTATTCTCCAGGATGAAGGAGGAAATGACGCGATCCCAGTCTTCGTTCTTGGTATCGAGCAAGACTAGGATCAGGTCGAATCGACTGAGGAGCGGGCTGCCCAGGGCGATATTCACTGCCACGGACTCCTGGGGGTCGTACTGGCCTTTGGGGTTGGTGGCGGCCAGGATGGTGGTCCTTGTGTTCAGCTTGCACACGAGGCTGCAGGAGAGAGGGCAGGTTCACAGCTCTGAGATCAACCTTGTTCATAAAATACAGCTGCACTCGCTCCTTGGAATGCAGAGCAACTCCTATGAAAGAAAATGTGGAATTGTACAAGGATATCTCTATCCCAAATACTAAGTTCACCAAGAAAGCACCCTGAAACCAGCTTGTCTTGAAGAGAATAACTCATAATTGTTCAGTGAACACTTTTTTATGCACTGGGGAAGGAAGCTAGGGCCTGGCATAGGGAAGGCAAGTGTCCGCCAATGTGCTATATTCCCCACCTTTTATTTTTGTACTTTGAGAGAGGGTCTTGCTAAGTTGCCTAGGCTGGTCTTGAAAGTGTGATTCTCCTGCTTCAGCCTCCTGAGTAGGTGGGATTACAGAGCCTGGCTCAGTTAACACTTTTTATGCTCCTACCATGAGCAGATCCCTCTGCTAAGTGACAAGAGGCACAGAACACTAAGCCAAACACGAACAGTGTCCTTAAGGAGCCCATGATCCACTGGCTCCAGAAAAACTCAGGGAAGCACACACCAGGTTCTGTAAGCACGCAGTCCCTGGAACTCAGGACGGTATGTGTTTGTGATGGAAAAGGCAGGCAGAGAAGCGCCAGGAAGCAGCTTCTGAACGGCAACCTCGCGGTGTCTGGACGCATCAAAGCTGAGGGAGGCACGTCCTTGTGGATGGGACGGTTGTGGGGATGGTGAGCAGTAACACAGAAGCCTTCCGTCTATCACTCCTTGTCTCGGTTTCTCTGATCAGGAAGACTAAGCGCTGCTTTAGCATGGAGCTTGGGCAGCCTGGGGGCCAGCGTGGGGGGCTGGCACCCACGAGAGGGCGGAGGCCAGGGCAGTACAGGGTCGCAGGGACACTCGGTGACTTAGCACTCACTCTTCAACTAATCAGTGTCTGGCAAGTCTTCAACGTGGCGAGCTCGCCACAGTAGCAGAGGTGAGGTTCACGTGTGAAGTGTCCTGGTTTTGGTGAGGGGCAGCCTGCCTCGCAGGGGCCGCAGGCCTGCAACCTCAGCACTCCTATGCTACATCTGCTAAAGCCTGATGTCTCCAGCTGCCTCCAGCCCAAGGCTGAAGGAGTCTAAAAATCTTTGTGGCAAACGGCACAAAAAGACACTCACTGAACACGAGAAAAACAAGTAAGTGATTTTATGGAAAAGTAAATCCTTTTAAAAACAATCAATGAGGAACAAATTTTCAAAGAAGCACATCTAACAATTAATGTACCAAGGTAAAGGCCGCGGTTCAGGACTTCGAGCCCCACTTGCATAAGAACAGTGTAATAAATGGAACCTTTGCAGACTGCCCATGTGCATTGGACCCACATGCAGCTGAGATGACTTGCATGTATAAAGAAGGAACATTTCTGCAATACTGCCACTGAAATAAAACATAGCTGCACAGGAAATGATTTTTAAAATTTATTGTCAATACTGGTACATTTAATTGGCTGTTCTTCCTCTCTCTGATTAACAGATACTTATAGGGCACCTCCTGTGCGTAAAGTAAAGAAGGGTATTGGAAATTCAGGAAGGCCAGTCAGTGTGCAGTGGAACCACTGGGGAACCAGTTGAGGGGCTCAGCAGAGCAACGTCAGAGAGCAGGTGGGCAGGGACCAGCAGGGAGAGGCTCCCGTGGAGCACCAGGATGACCATGGGGGACATCATCTGAACCTTAAAAGGAAAATAAATGTGCGAAGACAGAAGGGAGGTGGCCTATTATTTCTGAGGTGATTTGGGGAAAAAGGAATTGAGCTTAAGGAAAAGGACTAAGGAAGATTTGCATGCAGAGAGAACAGGTTGCCTGCATGGAGCCATCAGAACGGCTGGGGCAGAGGTGACTGGGGGGAAGCAGGCAGGTCCCTGGGCACAGGCAGGAGGGATGGGGATGCTGACAGGGCTCCGGGCAGCAAAGAGGGGAAGGCTGAGTAGACGTGGAGCCTGCATTCAGCTGTCTCTGCTAAACACTGAGCAGGGCTCCAGAAAGCAGCCCCACACACAGGTGCACTCCGAACTCCAGGCAGCGAGCGCAGGAGGCGCAGCGCTCACGCTCAGTAGGAAGCAGCTCATTTTCCCACCCAATCTGAACTCCACTCGCTTCAATTATAGTAATAAAAATAACCACCGTGTTGTGGTAGGGTTATACAGGCCATCCTGGGTCACCACAGAAGCCTGAGAGTAGTGTCATTTCCACAAACTCGGGAACAAGGACGTTGTGCTCAGACTCACTTCCCTAGGGCACACGCATCCCCTGCCGCAGGGCCGTCATTTACCAGCACCCTTTGCTGCGTCAGACGCGTAGCTCCTCGATCTGAAGATTCATCTGACACCTTTAGTATCTACCTACTAGCCTCATCTTTGCTGCTAGATTGGATCCTTTTGAGGGACTTATTGCTCACACTGTCTGGCACCTATTAAACACTCAGTAAACATATGCTAAATGAAAGATAAAGTTATTTAACTCAGTACATGTTTCTAAAATTCCGAGGCTTCCAAACTCATAACTCGATGATGCTGAAACACATTTTTTCCTGCCTTAACTTTGAGTGGAAACACTGTGGTTTCTGGAAAAGCGACTTTCCATTTATCTAAGCCACATGTTTAAACCTTCCTACAAACACTGTAGTAATTGTTCTAAACATCATAACACTGGGTTGCACAAATTGATTTGAGGGCCTGCTACCCACGCCGCACCTCTAGGCGGCCCCATCTTGGCTCCTGCACCACCCCCCTTCTGATGCTTCCAACTCAGCTCCGGCAGGGCAGTGGCTGCTACAGGGCTCTCCACACCTTGTGCCTTTCCCCCAGGGAGAGAGCAAGATCGCATTCCCACGCCTTCACAGTTAAGGAGGGCAGCACTGTCCAGTCTGACAACTGTATGAGGCAAAGAAACTCTGCCCTCCGGATCCCTCCCATGGCTTCCAGTGCACCCTCTGCCTCTCTCTGTCTTTCAGCAGAGTGGAGAAGAAGTGGCCCTGGAAGGAGAAAGCCCATGCGGGAGGGAGCCTGAGCCCGGGATGATCGTGAGGAGCAGGGTTCCCTGTGACACAGCAGGAGAAATTTCCTCTGCTTAAGTATCCGAGGGAGAGCTGAGCACAGGAAACAGCTGCCACTGATTCCAAGGGGGAAACGTTTCTAGCCCCGGACGGTAAAAGAAGAATGAGAGGCCAGGGTATCAGAGGGCCCGTGAGTGTTCTCAGCTGCAAAGGGCCGTGGGCACAGTCTCCTGCTGGAAGGAACCTCAAGACAGCCATGCCGAAGCAGGGGAGGCCACAGCCGGGTCTCCAGCAGCCCTGGACACAGAGACCCCAAGTGTACGGGACAAAGGGGTGGAGAATGTGGTCAGTATGTGACGTGAAAATTAGCCTTAAAAAGAAAGGATGAACCTTGAGGACGACGTGCTAAGTGACAGAAACCAGACACCGAAAGACAAATATTGCATGATTCCACATACATGATAAACAGGGATCAAGTTCGTGGAAATGGAAAGCAGAAGGGTGGGCGCCAAGCCTGGGGAAGGGGACACATGGAGCTGTTTAATGGGGACGAGTTTCTGATGTAGAGAGGAGTTCTGAACACAGCTGGACAATGACGTGACTATACTCAACACAAACGAACCACACACTTCAAATAACCGAGAAGGTAGATTTTACGTTTTGCATCTTTACCACACGGGGCAAACAAATAAAAGCTACTGGGGCTGGGGATTTAGCTCAGTGGTTCCGCTGCATGCCTTGAAAGTGCAAGGTCCAGAGTTTGATCCCCAGTACCAAAAAAAAAAAAAAAAAGAACAAGAAATAAAAGCGTTTATGGTGGTGTCCACCCCCTCTCCCATTCACAGGCTAAAGCTCTTAACACCCACTGTGATGCAGAGGGGAGGCAGGACTGCTGGGCAGAGCCCCTCACGTGGGCTTCGAGGCTGACACACACCTAAAGGAGAAATGACCTTTTACTGTGTTGAGCTGCTGTTCCACAGCAGTCTGCCCACCTGACTATGACGCAGCAAAGTCTCCACAGGAAGCACCAGCCTTCTGGCTACAGCAAACCCAACAATGGCTGTGTGGTCTCCTCAGCAAAGGAACTAGGCGTGTGTGATGCAAGCTTCCCATGTCACAGACATTTCCCATTTCTATATCAATAGGGCCTCAGTCAAAACAACACAAAAACTGCTTAAAAGCATCGAGAAACGGTAACAAATATCCTACAAACTATATACAATAAAAAGTCGTTAGTGGTATTTCTAACGTATATTTTTTGATAATCTTAAATGCTAGCAACATAACTCTCCCACGGATTTTGCTGTTGTTTGTTTCTGTGATGCTGGGGACTGAAGCGAGAGCCTCCCCCATTTCCCACTCTTAACCCGAGGAGGGACTGAAAATTGCCTTTAACGTCAACACTGCCTCAGTGGTTCCTGAGCAGCGGGGTGGAGAAGGGGCAGGGTGAGTGTAGAGGCAGACCCAGCTGGAAGGAACAGAATCCCCAGCGTGCAGCCCTCACACCCTGGCTTCCTTGGACTGGCAGCACGCTGTTAGACTGGAGCGAGGGCTGGTGCTCCCCAGAGGTCCTGTTTAGCCCCCAGAACTGCCCACGGGCCCCGTCAGGCAGCGGGTGCAGCAGGCGTGGATGCAGGCCCAGCAGTGACCCCTGCTCTGGACCCTCTGGGTGCCGCTGCCCTCCGCAGGCCCTCATTCAGGTCCGTGAGGGTCCTCTCTCACCGGTGACCAAACGAGTTTGACACGCATGTGCGGGCTGCCATGGCTTCCCTCACACTCATCCCGGTGCTGTTCCTCCTGCACTGCACTCAAGGCCCACATCCCCTCACCGCCTACTCTCGCCTGTTTGTGATGGAGCATGCTGGATGGCACACCAGGAGCCCGGGACGCTGGGAGTGACCAGCAGCCGGATCTGGTGACACTCAAGGTGGCCTGCAGCAGAGAATGACAGAGCGAAAAGGACAGCCAGGAGCCCCATCTCCATG